TACCTTTTTTTATGATCATTATTTTTATTTTTTATTTATTTACGTGCGCTTTTGATGGGCTTGACAGCAGGTGTTTGCTTTGTGTGTGTGCGTGTACAAATTTGATGGCATTTTATGCCATTGCAGATCAACCCAAAAACTGTCGACCAAGCGCTGCGTGCACCATAAAAATAATGTTGGGTCGCGTGCCGCCTTCACATGCTCTGTCATGCATTTGCATTTCCCGCAGTTGCTCAAAAGTAACTCTTTCTCTTGTGTGTCCTTCCTTGCGATTCTCATGACCTTAAGTAATTGAAGATATTCATATTATTGTTTGCTTATATGTGAGAAGACACTCAAAAGTAATTCTTTCGCGTATGGAAATATATATGATAACTGCCCTTCTCTGCGATTTTCAAGGCGAGAACTTAAGTAACTTGTAGATTTACGTGTTTGGGAGTTTCATTTTTGTCATGGTTGACTTGCACTTCAGCACCTTCCGATCAATTGCTCTCTCTTTCTTTCTCTATCTCTCCTTTTCTCTCTCTTTCTGTCCCTCTCCCTCTATATATCTTTCTATCTCTCCATCCATATGTCTCTCTCTCCCTATCTTTCTCTCTATCTCCATATCTCTTTCTCTGTCACACCTTTTTAGTCAATATGTATTCCACTCTCGCTTACTAAATTTTTGTAAATATAGCCTTTATATGCGATTCTCATAAGCACAAATTGTTAATTTATTTTTTTTAGCTTATGTGCGGAACAAACGTGAAAGCACATGTATGATAGAGCAATATGTGCACAAGTTCATTTTTGTAAATAAAATATAATTAATTCAAAATAAGATTTAGCACATCGTACTTGTTGGCATTTCCCACTCGCAATGGCTGCCAACAGCTTTATGCGTTAATAGGTGCCATGCCAACAGTTATCCGCATTTATTTCTTTTTTATTATTCTTTTGTTTTTTTTTTTTGGCCCAATCTTATTTTAATTATAAAACACGCTGCACACACTTGTACAGCTTTTCGCCCATTGGGCCATCAAATTGTCTGCACGGCAAGGTAACAGAGTATTAAGAATTTCAGCACCAGCAGCCAGTTTTTTGACCAGCCAGCCAGAGTGTTGCCGCCCCAGCGACCCGAGCAGGACAGCAGAGCTCCTCCATGGCAACCCAAGCCGCTTAACGCAACCAACTGCCAAATGTAAATATACTCCAACCCCTGGTAAAACCAGCAGCAAAAAAAAAAATACTTATACTATACAAAACTTTCTTAATAATACAAAAAAGAAAAGTCCATTCGAGGCGCAGCAGAGCCGCAAGCGGAATGCGCATTGTTTTCAGCTTTTCAGCGCCGGCAACAACAACAGTTGGCGAAATAAAGAACGGAACTGGGCAACTGGGAGCCCGGCGCGACGCAGCGCGGCTTGAGGAACTTAAAAAACTTTGGCCATATCCCGCAGCTATGAACAACAGCAATCAATTTTCACATGCCGGCGAACAAATGTGCCGCAACGGGGAGCCCGACTCTCTCTCTCTCTCTCTCTCTCAGTGTGTGTGTGTGTGAAGGGGAAAGGGGGGGTGTGCTTTTCCCATTGGGTAGTTTAAAATTATAATGCGGCGGCGCTTGGGCGCGTGTGAAAGTGCCGTCATGGCCATCAAACTGGGCAAGCACTGGACACTTTTGGACACATACATATTTGCCGAGCGCTTCACATTACGTCCGGTTCCATCAAATCTGCGGCACGCCCACGCCATCAACACTCGCAACATCCGCCCCCCACAGTCGCTACGCTGATTAATTTCTCGTTTTTGCGCCATTTTCTATTTGTCTTGGTCTCAGTCTCGGTCTCTCGGTAATTACAACAAGTTCTGCGCCGCGTGGCACAAGATAAACACAGCCAGCGCACAGATCTCTGGCGAGAAGTGATTCTCAGCTGGGTGAATGCTTCCGGTAATTGAATCAAATGAAGCAGCATTAGTAAGTATTAGCTTCTTACGGTCTTCAACAGCCACAGCAGCAGCTCCTGCTTCAACATACCATAACTGTGTTTGTTTTTCTAAATTAATTTTTAATTTAATATACGTGTTATAGGGCGGGCTGACCGTTCTCGGTCTAGGGCTAGCTAGTTTCACGCCCCCCCAGACACGGAGAGCATTGTGCGAGCGGAGGGCGAACAGCAAAAGAAAAATTAAAAGGTAAACAAACAAAAAAAACAAGACTTAAGAGTCGGCAATGCTCGGCTTAGAGATGTCCTGTAATTAAGCGCTTTCTTTTAAGGTAATTCCACTCCAAGAGTAAAAAAATCACGAAAACCGTTTATGGCAAGCTTTCTTTTTACTATCTGCTTGGCCTTAAGCTCATTTTCAAAAATCTTAATGTCAAAGATTTTGAGGATGACGTAAAAATTATTTCACATGCATTTAACACTTTTCGCAGAATCCAAGCATCTCTGTGGAAAATGCGAATCAAAGATTTTTTTAGTAAGAAAAGTCTTAAGTTTCGTTTGATTCGCTTCAAACTTATTATTGAAGTTCTACATAAGAACTTCATGAATACATATTTCAGCGGTTTTGCAAATTCCACCTAAAACTGTGGAATTTCGGCGGAAACTTTGCCATTGTGTTGTTCAAAGACCTTTGTAAAAAAGATGTGGATCAAAGGTTTAATGATTAAAAGTTTACGTCAAGATTCTCACCACAAGACTAGCTAATGTTGGCTCTTTTCACGCTCATACGCTCAGACTTATAGGGCATTATAGAGCTTTCTTTTCTACACATTTCCTGGCTACAAGTTGGAAAAAAAAGAACAAAAGAAATGTTAGCATTTAAATGCTTGCCTAAGTAAAGTTGACTTTGCCAGGCACTTGCTGTAAATAACGAAAACAAATAATAATTAAAACTATTTGATGAACATAATTAATAAAGTGAAACAAACTTTGTTTAAACTTCTTAAAACTTTTATTGCTTAACAAAGATATAATTGTTTGGTTACGTTTTAAAGCAAAAACTGAGATATGTTTGTGGAACGGGCTTACAAGCCTAGAACAAATCAATGCCTCTCTTTGCGATTCTCAACTGGGTTTTTCGAACGCCTGGGACCTGGTCGTTAATAAAAAGCTAATAAATGCCAAATAACTGAAATCCTTAAGATCCATGAGCATACAAATTTGAAAAGATATCCAATTACCCATTTGAACATCTAATAAACCTTATGACAATATTATAATACCCCAATTCGGGGCTACACTGGGCTCAAAAGTGGCCAGAACGAGCCCGCAAGTATATGAAGTACATAAATAGACGACGAAATAATATAGAAATGGGCGGTTGGAGCGAAGGGGCAGACAATTTCAGATGGTCAGCAGATTTCGCTGGTTTTCGTAGCCGAAAATAAAAGTAAAGCAGCAGCACAAAGCGAAACGGGCAGCAGGGATGTGGAGCGAATAGACGAGTGCCAGGACGTAGACCAGGACCAGGGCGAGGACGCGGACGGGCACGGGCACGAGGAATACGTTTTCCAAGATAAACGGAAACAAGCCAAGATGGAATTAATTTTCCGCTTTGAACAAACAAGCGGATGTAAATAAAAAGTACCAGCGAACGTCTTCTACGTCAAAGTCATTCGGCGTTCGGGCGGCGGGGATCCAATGGAGACGGCCAGCCGCAATGGCTTAGACTACCTCCCACTGACACATTCCCACTCCCCGCCCGGCTTCTGCCCCCCTCTGTTGTTTTTGTTCTTGTCGAGCTGTTTAGGCGAGGGCCCTGCGTCTGCCAAGTTTAGCCCAAGAACAGGCTGGCCCAAGTTATGGGCTGTTAATGACTGTACAAGAAGTTTAATTGTATGCCCAGCGTTAAGCGTTAAGTCGAGCAACGAGAACGATAGAGATATGTATAGAGAACGGAGTAGTAGCTGCCTCTGCTTGGGCGTGGGCAATTGTGGGCGCACACACGCCTATTGACAAATTGCAATTTAAATAGACAGCAATAAGTTAAACAGACGCACACGGGCACAAATGGAATTGGAGGGGAATACATGAGACGGACATAAAGCACGCAACATCTAATTAGTTTAGCAGCTCAGGCGGGGAGATGAAGGACCTGTGCTCATAGCGATGGTCGATAGTTTGACTATCGGTTAAGCAATGGTCTGAGAAATAGCGAAAGAGAGGAAGAGTGCGTGTTCTGGAATAAACAAAGAACCTTCGCATTTTATAGAGAGTAGAGTCAGAGTTTATCACATCTTATCGTTAAATAAAAGAAGAGATTGAGTTTCATATTCAAGGAAGTCGTCCTTTGTATTTATCCAAAATTTTACATCGAACAGTCAATTTTTCGAGACTTATCCATAAAAATAAAAGTATTTATTGTTTTCCTTGTGAAGGATTTTTTTAAGCATAAAGCTCTAGTCCATCGCCATTAAATAATTAATTTTTTGAATATTTGTTTAAGAAGTTCTAAGCCTTGCAAATATAGTTAATTTGTAAAATATATGTTTATAATTCCCAACAAAATTATTTAAATTCAATTATTTTTTTAATTATTTATAAGTTATCGTGAACCAGATTCTTCAAGCAGTTCCCGATGTTTACTTCTTTCATCCGATAGTTCTGCAGCCGCTTTCAGATATCGTGCCATCTGTAGCTGTTAAATACATAAGGACATTCTTTTTCTGGCTAACTTGCTTACATATATTATTTTATATTATATTATGCCATGCTCTAGCACAAAATAGTTGCCATCTCTCTGCGCTCTAATGTTGTTGTTTGTGTACCAAATATTGATGAAACATTTACGCACATACGCACACAATTAAACACGTTTACTCACGCAGCACACAAAGTGATGCTCACACAGATACACAAAAACACACACACACACACGCACAGACAGCATATATAAGTAGTAATTGATGGGTTTCCTTTTATAACAACATCAATCATACGCACTGTGTTGCCCAGCATTTTGTGCCCAGGTTAAATAATACATTTCTATGTATGTATGTACACAATTCTAGCATTTGGAATGTATTTATTTGGCAAAGCTACTTTGCACTATATCAAATACACATACATATATATATATATATACATATATATCAAAATGTACCTCTATATGTATTGTATGTGTTAAGCTACCAGCTAATCCAATCACGCCTTGACATTGCACTCGCCTACTGTTGTTGTTGTTGCTGCTGTGTGATTGTTGTGGTTGTTGCTGTCTCTGTGCTCAGACTCTGTCGCTTTATCCAGCACAAAATGTTTACCCAAATCATGCCACATACTCCCATATAGATAATGCGAAATCTAGGCGCTACAAACATAAAATTCAGAGCCTGTGCGGGCAACCAAAAGGCACACGATCGTATAAAAGTCGGCAGGAATTTTGCGCGCAGCTCCTCAAAAGTATCCTCAGAGCCCTCCATAAGAGCCATGCCTGCGTAGATTTACAAAGAAATTGTATATTTTTAGTTTTAACTAGTTTAGTCAAATATTAAAGTATAATCATTAAGATAATATAAAGATTTACTCTTGGTAAACTTAAGAACTTGAATATGTCTTATAAAAGGTTTTCAATGTTTTGCATACCTGTATAAAATAATGTCAAGCAATATGGTGTCAATATAAACTGATCCAGCAGCAATTTTTTTAAAATCGTTGTCTTCAATGTGCCAGGAAAAGTGCCATCCAGCCATTTGTACCTGTGATTGATGTAAGACAAGTCAATGAAGAGAAGGCAACGCATATTTGATGTTAAAAAGTGTGAAATGATGACAAAGCAGATATGATAACAAAATAAAGTATGCGTAGAGTGCTTGAGACTAGTGTAACTTTGGACTATATATACGTGAACAAACGGCTCTCAGTGTATCTTTGTATCTGTAGATGGTGTTTCGTGTGGCTTTTATCCGACACTTACATATCTGTGGCATAAGCGTGCACATATGCCTCAATCGACGGTGCGTAGCGTGCTTTGCTGGAGCTTTATGCACAAAAGCTTTGCGCTCTTGCCGGTGCTGCTTAAGAGAGTGAAGAAAGAGAGGGCTAAAGTGCTCTTAGATGGCATACACGTGCTGGGCAGCTTTTGCAAATAGTAAACAAATTGACAAAAAAAAAAAAAACGAAAGAAGCCACGAAATAAAAACATGCGACAATTTACAAACTAAGCAAAGATAAAGAGAGAGAGAGAGAGGGGGGTAATATGTATGTATGTATGTATTGTTGTTGTTGTTCAATTAAGGTGCTTGCTGCCCAGACACAACAAGCACATGTATACATTAGTATTGTGTGTGTGCGTGTGCGTATTCGTGTGCATGTGTTAGTGTGCATTACATGTGTTAAGTGTGGGACAGACGAACCAAGCGTAAAGTGATGGGGCATAGATGGCGGTGCCCATTATCGCATAGCGTCCTACAGTTGCATAATCGATATCCTCACGCTCCTCCGGCCGCTGCAAGACACATAAATCTAATTAGCCTCCCCCCCCGCGCACTTGGGCATATGTATATGTATGCAACTGCTACACTCACCGCCAGCCAGCGCTTGGAGACATATTGCTGTGTGAACTCCGCACCCACATAGAGGCTGCCATAGATGGCGCTGTTGGTCACAAAGGGATGGCGTCTGAATAGGCCGCGGGCGCCGGCAATGAGGCGTGACATTGTCTGGCAATGGAAACACCAGCGGGCCACAACAACAACACGCAGATTCCAAGTCTTATTTATATATATATTTAATTAACTGTTACAATTGCGCTTGCCCTTCCAGAGAGACAGCTGCCAGCGCCGTCAAAGCTTCACAGCAGAATGAAGCTCGTGCGGCTCAGCTGTTACAAAAGCTGCGACAGGCGAAAAGAGCGCAGCGACTGGCTTGGCTTATCAACACATATGCGAGAGAGAGAGAGAGAGAGAGAGAGAGAGAGAGAGAGGGCACTTTAGATATTCCATTTTCCGGTTATGTTTGATAAACTTTACAGATGCGCTGCAGCGATTTTTTGAGTGAGCGGAAAATTAAATGATTTACTTAGTTCAATAAAACATAATAAAAGCTAATATTTTAGCTCTTAGCTATTTATTTATGGCAAACATAAAAAGCCAAACACTTCCATTTACAGTGCACACCATATATTGTATTATCTGTGTGCTTTGTGTATAGATAAGATTTGTTTATTAAACTGCAATTTATCAATTAAGTGAATAAGTTTACACCTATAGCAACAAAAGCTCAAATGAAGCGTAACTTGTTTATTAAGATAAGCAGATAAAAGTCAAAGCGTAAATAAGCCTAAAGTATTGATCAAAAAATACTTGAAATATTTCAAATAAAATAATAAAACAATATTGATAATCGAAAACTCGAACTACATTAAAAACAACGCTCCTTTATATACCAACTATTCCCATTCCTATTCAACCAATATAATAAGTGGTCTATTTAACTATATTTTTCTCCGATCTGTAGCTCTACTTTTTACCTGTGCCCATTCCTTCAACCCATTCCTTCAACCTTTTTAGAAGTCCTCTTATATATGTGCATGTAATCCTTTATGCACCGAGTTGACGCAATCAGGGCCCAGCTCATTCCGTTTTCCATTCCAATCAAGGACACACTTTGAGCCACAAAAACTTTTAACCATAAAAATGCAATAAGTGTACTAACTGTGCAGACCCTTTGCTAACGGCAATTTACGCACGACTAACAAGCGCAGCGGAGAGACAAGTGCCCCCAAAACATGGAAAACTTTGATTGAGTGCCAAAGAAACTGCTGGGTGGAAGGTGTTAAGAACTGAAACCAATTTAAAAAGTTGGCCTAACCATATGGAGAGCGGCTTGCGAGGAATGCAAAAAGAAAAGAAGGAACAAAATCAAATAAGTTTCAAAAAAAGAATGCAAACTAAACACAAAGCAGTCGACGACGCAGTCAAAGCTAACAGCACACAACACAACAAACAAACAAGGCGAATTAAAAAACAACTTTGCACACACGACCACGAACACGACAGTTGAACACTTCACAGACCAAGGATGAACTTGGGCGCGTTGGCCAGAAGCCTGAGCAACAGTCTGAGAATTGCCGTCGGCTCCAAGAAGCAGCTGGAAACCACGCCAACGGCAAGCGAAAGCCCCACAAAGCCAGCTACGCTATCGACGCCGCCGAGCAGCAGCAACAGCGACTCCACGGAGCTGGACAATCTTAGTGGTCATCAGCTCACTGAGCCTGTGGTGCGGATCAATCCACGCCGTCTGCCGTATAAGCAAACGGTTCATCTGATTCTTGACAAGGTCAGTGAGCTGGAGCACACGCTCTACGAGGATCAGCAGCGGGAGTTCAAGTTGCGCATGGCCCTGGAGCATCAAACGGAGCGCATACACGAGCTCAACTTTTCGCTGGACACCGAAAAGCAACGCAATGAGCGACTGGTGCAGTTGCTGCGTGGCGTCGACAGCGACTCCTCCAGCGAGAGTGAGCCGGAATCTCAGCTATTGAACGGCATGCGGCTGCACACCAAAGACGAACTATATGGCTCGATTAGTCCAATGCTAATGCAACAGCGGTAAGTAGGATTAAAAAGCTTCTAAAATCTTTAAGTGCGATAGTATTCAGATTAAAGCTCGACTCTTTGAAGTGGACTAACCCTTTGATAGCGTACAAGCTTTAACTGCTTTCAACAGCTTTGAGTTGGTAAAAAATGCTGACCTTGGCCATATATATTAAAGCTTTCAAAAAAATTAAAGCGCGACTTAATGCTGAATTGGACCCTATAAACTAATCATTCAGTCTATTTTATCACTTTCAGTTACGACGAACTGCAAGCGTCGCATCGTCAAACCCATCGGCAGTTGGCCAAAAAGGATAAGGCCATAAAGCTGCTTCAGTGCGACTTGGAGGTGTTGCGTGGCAAATATGATTCCATTTGCAATGATTATCGCAGCGAGCACCGGCGCCTGGAAGCGCTGTGTACACGTTATATGCACATGCAGCAAAAGAAGAAGCAACAGATCTGCATCCTCAAGGAGACGCTGGGCTATGCCAGCGAGTGCATTCTGCACGCCCAGATGAGCATTGAGAGCTGCGATCACAGCTCCTCCGGCATCAGCGAGCAGCATTTAACCAAATTCAATCAAAATTTGGAGTTATTTATGCGCTCGCTGCGCAATTGTTGCTGTTTGCGCAAACTGCAGGAGCTGGAACGGCAGCAGGGCCTGCACGTTGAACAGGATGCGGAGTTGCCCAGCCCAGAGCTGAGCACCACAGCCTCGTCTGGGTTCAGTTCGATCGGTCCATCGCAAGTGGATGCACCAAAGCAGAAGCGGCGACATCGAAAACGTCAGAAGCATTGAAAATGGTTCCAAAAGGAGTTCAATTTATTCATTCATTTCATTTGCCCTTAACTGTTAGGTTATGTGCTTGCAAAGTTACATGTTTTATTTGAAATTTTTGGAAGAAGTATTAAAGCAAAAAAAAGGGTTAAGCATAGCAAGGAAAATAGCAAAAAATAGTTTGCGCACTAAATAAAAAAAAATGTAAACGTAATCAAACGTGTTGTTGCCTCCGATCTGGTCTGATCTGTTACTCGAAGCCAGTCCCCCTTCTATTGAATGTCAAGATTATATCGAATCACAATTGGCCTAAACTGAACAAATTTTATGAACAACACAGTGATCGTTGTTTAGTTTATCGTAATGGAGCAGTACTGAAAGAAAGGCAAATTTATTTTAATCTTAATAATCTGATATATCTTAAAACTAAGACAAGATGCCGCTATTCGATACGAAAACCCGAAAACGCACTCTTGTTCAACCGAAAAAAGTGCGAAAATCACGTAATTCGAATCGCGTTACTATCACTCAAGATAAAACTAAGGGAAACGAGATAGTTAGCGCAGATAAACTCAGTACGCCGACGAATCCATCTGGCAGTTTCGTTGAGTCCGATTCGGAATCAGATGAGCCGCATCCGGAAGCATCGCCGGCCACAGATGTCACCATTTATAATGAGTACGACATGGGCCCCGCATTTGGCTGCAAATTTCCCTTACCGTTTATACGATTTATGGTCGAGCGTGTTTTGATGGAAAAGCTAAAAGGTGAGGATGCATATTCAAAGTGAGATCTGTTTGATTTAGTTGCTCTTTGTATGGACACAGGCAAGACATATGTAGCTGGGGATGCTGTGAAGTGGGTACGCGATGTAGCTGATACTATCAACTCGAAAATGAAGGGCTATTGCCTGCAACAGCGTTACAAGCATGTGATAAATGTTTCTATATATCAACAGAACGGTGCCGGATTCTTCCACGGCTTCCGTGCCGTTTGGGATACGCTCTCTGATGATTATTTGCGCAATACCTTTGATGCCGGAACCTTTGTATGCATTGTCGTTATTTTCGGCTGTTATACATATTAAATTAAAGAATTAAATCAGAAATGCACGCAAACACACCTGTTGCAATATTCAAATTTATTTGGTTGCGCGCGTAACCTAGCAGACCAGAACAGCTGTTCAGAGGCAATTAAATTAAACGATAGTATCGATATTACGATATGACCATACCAACTATCGATACTACCACATTACCATACCTAATGCTCTAAGTGCGCACATGTTTTGGTTTTTTTGTTAAGCAAAATATCAACTGGTCAAATTGTTTACAGTTTACCAGTTTACAAGATGAAGGTGAAAATGATAAGTCGCAACCCGGACAACTATGTCCGGGAAACCAAGCTGCAACAACACAAAGGTAAGACGCACAACAAACAAATTTATGTATGCTGTTGACAAGATGAAAGTGAAAATGACAACTTGGTTTGGAAAAACACACTAAGCCGCTCCCCAATTGCAGTTCCACGCAACTACGATCCGGCGCTGCATCCGCTGGAGGGTGCCAGGGAATATGTGCGCGCACTGAATGCCACCAAATTGGATCGCGTATTTGCCAAGCCTTTTGTGTGCAATTTGAGCGGTCACCGCGATGGCGTCGCCTGCTTTGGCAAACATCCCAAGCTGCTGTCAACATTGGCCACTGGCGCCTACGATGGCGAGGTTCGCATCTGGGATTTGGCCAACCGGACCAGCGTGCGTAGCTTTGTGGCACACGATGGCTTTGTACGTGGCATTGCATATGCGCGCAATGGGGAACGTTTGTTTACCGTGGGCGATGACAAAACGATTAAAGTGTGGAGCTCACAGGCGCCAGATGTGGGCCAGGAAGAGGAGCCGGTTAACACAATACTAAGTCGTCATATTTTGCATGGCATTTCGCACAATCGCAAGGACAACAGCTTTGCCACATGCGGCGAGGTGTGCGCCATTTGGGATGAGAAGCACAACGATCCCATCAAGACGCTCAAATGGGGCGTGGACACGCTGCACACCATCTCCTATAATCCTGTGGAAACAAATGTGCTCGCCTGCTGTGCCAGCGATCGCAGCATTATTTTGTACGATCAACGCGAGGCGCAGCCGCTGCGCAAAGTTGTCTTGACCATGAAAAGCAACAAACTGGCCTGGAATCCAATGGAGGCGTTCAACTTTACCGTCGCCAACGAGGATTGCAAGTAAGCAGAGATTCAGCAATAGCCAAAAATGGAATGCTAAACAATTACTCTTTCTAGTCTCTACACATTTGATACGCGCACGCTACGGACGCCGCTTAAGGTTCACTTTGACCATGTTTCCGCTGTGACGGACGTGGACTATGCGCCCACGGGCCAGGAGTTTGTCTCGGCCAGCTATGACAAGACTGTGCGCATCTATAATGCACATCAAAGCCACTCCCGTGATATTTATCACACCAAGCGAATGCAGCATGTGGTGTGCGTTGCCTGGTCACTGGACAATCGCTACATTTTCTCCGGCTCCGATGAAATGAATGTGCGCATGTGGAAGGCGAATGCCTCAGAGAAGCTTGGCATCGTACGTCCGCGCGAGCGTGCCAACTTCAACTATCAGGAGGCACTCAAGGAAAAATTTGCAGCCCATCCGCAAATCAAACGCATAGCGCGCCACCGACAGGTGCCGCGACATGTGCTCAATGCGCAGAGGAAGATGCGTATGGTCAAGGACAAGGAGCTGGTCAAGGAGGCCAATGTGCGCAAGCACTCCAAGAAGGGCAAGGTGCCATTTGTCAGCGAAAAGAAGAAGCATGTACTGCGAGAGGATGTTTAATAATTTTAGTTGGTCTAGTGTTAACAATATGCAAATACAATTCAAATTGCGAAATACGGCAAACGTGTTATCGATATGTGTTGCCAGCGATAACGATAACAGCATGACATACATTGAATCGAAATGTGCTGCCAGTGTGCGCTTATCTAGCCAATTTTCGTTTATAAAAGGTTGACAGCCCCGCATTGTGGAGCCAGTAGTCAGTTGTTACGGCAGCGGCAGTCCGTTTCGTTTGGTCGTTAGATTTTAGTTTCGTTTTCGTTATTTCGCATTTGTTTATATCAAAAACGTCGCGATTAAAAAGTTGCTCCCCCACCCCTTCAGCCGTTGAGTGCGCGTAGTAAAACAAGTTTACCGAGAACAACATAATAACACAGCTGCCACATACAAAATGGATGCACTGAGCGACTTATTGGCACCATACAGCGAGACCATAGGCAAAATAGCCGGCACAATAACTACCCTACAATTTCTGTCCGGTGTCGCTCTGCTAAATGATATACGCAAAAAGGGCAGCAGCGATGTTTACCCCGTTGGACCGTTTTTGGGCGGTATTGTGCTGTAAGTACAAATCTCATAAAAAAAACACACAAAATAGTGCCGCTTGACTGCACACACACACACCAAGACACACATAGCAATAGAAAAATAACAAATTGTGGCCGTGTGAAATTGATTAAATTTTTTGAATTGTCGCCATGACGCTGCCAAATGGCGGCAGGCTTGGAACCAAACAAAAAAAAAGGGGGGGTGGGGGTGTCAGTGGGTTAAGGGTTAGGGTAACGCTGTGTGTCTGCTGAGTTCAAGGCCAAATCAAAGTGTCTGCTGCCAGTTAAGTAGTTCGAGCAGTGTCAATGACAATTGACGGTTACATAAAGCAAATGAGAGCCCCAATTAAAGAAAATGTCAACACAATTTGGCAGTCTTCTGGCTGGCGGAGATGCCTTATCGCCCCCAGGCGACGGCCAGCACGTACATCTTATCTGCACATACATACTCGTTATATATTATCATTAACGCTTAATATGCGCCAGCCGACACTTGGGCTAGTCGCCCGAGTCTATAGCTTCCGAGCTTAGCTAATCTGTCAGCGGGACAAACCCATTTTTAGCCCAGCTAAGGCGTCGACCTTGCCCACGCCACGTGCTGATTTTCTTTAATGAAAATGCAAATGGAAATGAAAATGCAAATGAGGCCAAGTGCTCCAAGACACGCAAGAATCCGCGTCAGGCGCAACAGTTGCGTGTTTTCAAATTGTTCAGCTTGAGCCGGAGGTTGGAGGGTTGAGTGCTCCCCTCAGCTTATCGAAGATTTCTGTAACTGATTAGATCCTGGCATGCCATCCATTTCCCTTAATGGGAAATGGACAGAGAGGCTTCTCTCTTGAACATATGCAAGCATATAAATGAGTTGGAGCTGTTTTCCTGAAAAGGACATTCTTAGTGGAGCCAAAACTTGTCCATATCCCTGGTTCGTGAAAGGATATATAACTTGGCACTTGTATATTCCGCCGAACTGGACCTTTTGTCCTTTTTCTAAATCTAATAATTACTTAAAGTAGTTTCAAGGATTCAAGAATTGTGTACTTAAAATAGGAGGAACAAAAAACGATTGGGGAAGAATTCAAATTTCTGCAAAATATTTTGTGCTATCTAAGTTTTTTCATATATTCTAATCTAATATAAAATTATTATAAATTAGATATTCTATTTTTCTATTCCATTATAAATTTAATAAATTCTCTAAGAAAATTCAACAGAAATTGACGAAAATACAAATTTAATATCAGGCACACATTGCAAATCGTTTTTATAATTTCTAAACAATTCTATTCATTAGAAGTTTTCAGATGCGATATTTTGCAATACTTGAGTTTTATGTGAAATAAATATCAACATGGTAATTATGTTCCTGTTCCGCTCCGACGGACACGTATGCTCCAAAATCGTGAACGGGCTTACGCGCATTTTACCGATAAGCTAGGTAATTAGATAATGAATGGAAATATGTGTTATCAGTGAACCTCTCGAAATCGAAGATATTGTGAAATTCGAACAGATACTATTGAATACGTTTGATCAGTTGAAATATTGCATTTTTTATTTATAAATAATTGTTTGTATTTTCTTAAAATCCCACAGCACAGTTCTCAGCTTGAAGCTGGGCCAATTGATGGGCGACCAGCCAATGATAAATGTCAATATAATTGGATTTGCGATCAATACAGTTTTCATGGTCGGTTTCTATTATTATGCCTCCAGTGAGAACAAATCAAAGATCTGGATCAAAGTTGGCTACGTCTCCCTGTTCCTGATGGCCTGCATAGCCTATGCGAACTTTGAGGATCCCAAACAGATCGAGTTCCGGCTGGGCATGCTGATCACATCCATTCTCGTTTGGCTGGTTGGCTCCCCGCTGCTGAATCTACCCAATATTATTAAGAAGAAAAGCACTGAGGGCATGCCCTTTCCCATTATATTTGCCGGACAACTGGTTGCCACAGCCTGGACGCTGTACGCACTGTCCATACGCAATCACGTCATGGTGGTAGGTTTTAATAATATTTTATACATTTATATATAGAAAAGTTTTCTTATATGTAATATTCTCCATTTTAGTACCAGAATTTGTTCCTGTGGATTTTGGGCAGCATTCAGCTGGCGATGTTTGTTCTCTATCCCAGCACGCCCGCTAAGAAACCCAATGCCAAGTCCGCCAAGAAGGAAAAATAAACGACTACGTTCAAGTACCTGGAATATCTTCATGAAGCAAGATGAAAATTATCTTAAAAGAGAGGAAAACAAGAATAGTTTTGAAAGAAAGGGTAAAACTCTTTTTCATAGCGCCTTTTATATAGTTAGATAAAAACAAGTAACTAAAATCAAAATTGTAATTGAACTAAGGAATATTTTTTAGAGAAAACAAATCGCTTCTAGAACTATTTTTACTAAACAATTAATTGAGCATTATCAGGCTGGGTTCCATGGATTTAATAAACTAAGCTTCTACTTTACAGAATAACAACAAAACAATTTAAATACATTGCATTTGTATTATTTAAAATCTGATCACAAATGCCCATTCGAAAGTACTTTTAATAAACAGATTTTACATGTGTTTAAAATACCTAGGATTTTGTAAAGTATGCCTAAACTAATCTAATTGTTGTTATTTAATGAATAACATTTGTACAAAGCGTATCGAACTATTTGCAAATTTTGACAATAATTCAAATCTTCCAAATGCATATTTGTATATATATAGTTATATATGTAAAGCAATATATTAATTCAATAAAATTGTTACAAATCAGATATAATTATAAGCTGGCTGCCTTATTGCTCCAGCGGCACCGTGGAGTTGTAATGTGCGCCCAGTTGATAAATATGGCGATGGTAACAGATGACCAGAGGCGCACCGCCGAACTCCTCCTGGCCCAGCAGCGTGGCAGCGCCCTCCGCTTGGATAACCTCGATGGGCACACGTAGCAGCGAGGAGAGCGCCTTCAGCTCAATGTGCCCGCCCCAGGCGTGCGTCTTGGCTATGTCCCGGCAGTAGGCTTCGAATTGCTCGTCATTAAGCAGCTCGCCCGTGTCCGGATGTGTCATGTAGCAGATGAGATTTTCCTTATGCGCGCGCACATAGTTGCCTGTCTCGGTGCGCAGCTCCTGAACAGTGTGGCCGGGCAATGCGTGCAGTTGCAGCTGATGTCGCACCGCATTGTACAGACAGTCACCGTCCGAGGCGATCATGTGCAGCGCCAGCTGGCGACCGCTCAACTTGGCTATGATCTGTTGCAGCTCGATTTGCTTTGGCGACGGTTGGTTGGCCGCATTTTGCAGTTCTACGCGTATTTCCTGCTCGCGTTCACGTGCCTCCTTTTCCTTTTTGTTGCGACGCTTTTGGGCCTTGGACACACGCTGCTGCGCCGGCTGCACTGCATCGTCCTCGTTGTCGTTGTCGCTGTCCGCAGCTGGTGCTTTTTTGGCTGGTTGCTCGATGACGGCCGGTGCCTCGGTGGCGGCAACATCGAGTTCAGCCTTCTGGCGCTGTTCCAGTTCACCCTCTAGACGCGCCATCTCCTCAAGGAACTCCTTGCGTTTATTTTTGTTGTTCTTCGGCGCATTCTTCTTCATAGCCTGCAATTTGGCTTGCAGCTCCTTGCGCTCACGACGATGGCGGCCAGCCACATCCTCCAGTGTGGCCTCGCCCAGGCGCGTCTCTAGTTCGCTAACTGCTTCGACGCACGACATTTTTAAGTTTTTAATAAATTAATTGAAGTTTTGTTTGCCGGCGCTCAGCTGTAGTTGCCTATTAAATGATTGCGCACAAAGCTCAATGCTAACGCAAAAAAGCTTAACGCTAACGCAAAAGCCACAACGATAATAAAAATGTGTTACGTTACGTAATCGTTACAACGTATTGAGTGGCGCGACCACTCAAAAGGGAGTTAACAGAGCAAAGAAAATGAACCCCGTTTTTCTTTTTATGTTAATTACCAGACAACAGTTTAACATTGTTGAATACGCAAAATTTCAAAAACTTTTCAATTGCATTTATTTATGCAACCATTTGGTTGGTACAAATTATTTCAATATTAACAATTTTAGGTCACCTACTTGTATTTCGCGCCTTTTAACAAATATAAAAAAAAAATTGAGGAAATTTAAGCGCGAGCTAACACGTGCCGAGTCAATTTGCAACTGATGTGCGTTCTTATTAAAACTTACTAGGAAAATATTGTTTTCTAGCAACTAAAGTGTTATATATTTAAACTTTCTTTTATGGTATATCTAAAGAAACAAATTCTGCTCGGCAGGTGCCACGCGTGGGCTCAAATTAAAAGTTTAAAAGTCTCCTTAGAGCCTGTTTCTCTTTGGACATGCTAAGATAAAATAGTACAATTTTTGCTCTAGATTTAAAAATTAAAAACTGGCTAGTGCACAAACGAGACTATAAACATGTTTTGCTCTTATATATATATATATAAATGTATATATAGAACTTAAAGAATCAATCTTAGTTTAATATGAAAGAATCATACAATGACTTTTGTATCGAATTATTTACACGGCCAACTGGGAAGAGTTTTAAATTTATATTTATATACTAGAAAAGATAAAATGTGCCTACGCATGTCATTAGGATTTTTCCAAACGGCTAATCTAAAATTGCAAAATGATAACTTAACCGCTATATTTCTCTTTATATCTAATGTGAATTTGATTTCCAGTCGAAATTAGATGTAAAAATAGTAATAACGGAAGCACCGACTAATCAAATAACATAACCAGGGGCCAATCAGTCTATAGGCTTTTGGTAATGTTGTGGAACAAACGACGTCCCCACCAGGACTCCAAATCGAATGGCTTAAAATCGTTCAGTGCCGGACTCGGCGGCTCCACCCAAACGGCCGGCGCTGCCGATGCCGCTACGGGTGTATTGGCTATGATGCTGTCCACAGGACTGGGCGTAGCCAAGGTGCTGGCACTGTTATTGTTGGCATCGGCCTTACCGTCGGGCTTTGCAGTGCTGGAATCATAGGGATTTTGTGCGACCAAAATGTTCCATGCTGAAAGTGAAATGTATAAATAAATGAATATAGTTCTAGAACAACAAATTTGCTGCTTACAGTCATTTATGTAGCGTATTATCTCCTCATGCTGCGGCGTTATCACCTCATCCTCAATAAGTTTTGTGGGCGCAATGCGTTTCGAAGCGAAGCTCTGTTGAAATACCGGGCGCGGTATGCTAAGAAATTCAAATCAACGCATATTAACATAAGAATACAAAATGCACACATGCACACATGCAAACACAAGTGAGCACTTATGCAAACATATGTACGTCACGCACATGTGGACTACGAAAATAAATTTAGTAATGGAAAATCTTTAGCGGAGCACTTTTGTGACGTAACGGGCAGAAAATGGCAGAGACATAAGTCAATGCGCTGCTGCTGGTGCTGCTGGTGATAACCGACACTGACCCACGTGTTGTCTGTTCGATTGCTCTGGTTTCTCAATTAACATGTCTGTGTTATATAGAAAGGTCGACAACGTAGGCTTCTTTTTGTGATAAAATTAATGCTACGAGATAAGCCGCAGTGCAGCGCGTTCATCGTTTGCATAAGAGCCCCACGCACACTAATGCCGTTCGTTCACTTACTTCTTGTTCTTCTCGGGACTGTTCAGATCAAAGCTGCTGCTGATGCTCCCATGTTTCTTGCCGCTCTCCTTGATGCTCTCGAACTTTTCAAAGTTTTGCGGCAGACCTGTGGGTGTTTGTTTGTTTGTTATTGTTTGAATGTAAATTCGATTTACCGGCAAAAGTACAAAACACAAGAGAGCGAGAGAGTGCGAGCGCGAGCGCATAAGAGCGCCGTATGAGAGTTAAGCAGCGCTGCCTCTGTCGGCAGCAGCGGTGTGTTGTGACATAACAGCAACACTTTTTTGCAGGCGGTCGCCCTTCCCATAGGGTTTATTGTACTTTTTACACATTATATGTTTAAATGTATGTAAATACCAATTGCAACTTACCGCGTCGCGTTTTAGCAACAATTTTGCTGGGTCCCTTGTTTACTGTGTACATGTCAATTTTATGTAATTTTTAATGTTGTTCTTATGCTAGCAAACGATTTTCCTTTGATTTATATTTTTGGTTTGTTTTGTTTGCTTTGACGTAGAAATATTTGTTTTTTTTTTTTTTTTTAGAAAATCATATGATTTTATGAATATTATTTAAATCCAACTGTTGACAAGCTGTTCTCTTTGCTCTTGTTGTTTTTGTTGTTGCTTCTGCTGTTTCATTTCAATTTCATCTTCTAGTTCAAGCAATTACACAATATTCACAGTTAGCTTTGACTTTTATATCTTTCGATGTCTTTTACTGATGTTATTCGCTGTTACTGATTTACAATTGTCCAAATCAATTGCCTGAATTTATTGCCAATTATTATTGAATGCGGAAGGGTTAGCGACTGATTTGCCTGCCTCGCCGTACGCGTAACACATTTGTAACGTATCCCCCACACTGCAATAGCTTCACAGTGTGCTCGCTAGCCCACTCACACACATACACATGTGCACTTGAATTCTGAAAACATATGGTGGGGTTCCAGTGTGTACACGCCATATGCAGGATTTAAATTTTTACCTGCTCACTTTGAAACTCATTAAACAGAGATTACGCGTTTTTCATCGGAAAATCATAAATCTCTTACACCGTGTTTATTACTGTTACCTGTTCTCGCAGACAGCTGCATCGATAATTTTGTGGAAATTAGCACAACTTTATGACGGACTAATTAAATTTGCCCGGACATCTACTGTCCTATTAAAGTATAAAAGTCAGGAATAAGCTATTTGGGAAATTAGTTCCAAGCCAGCATCCGTCAGCATCGCTCAGATTTTCCGGCCAAAGATCAGCGTATCGAAGTCAAATATTGCACATTCAATCATGGCGAGCATTGAAACAAGTCAAGTTTTACAACGCCTAATCAGCCTCAAAATTGTTGAGACACCAAAGCAACCACAACGCGAAGCCGGAAAACGTGAATGCTACTCTGAGGATGTTAAGAAGTCGCATGTACCTGCTACACCCTGTTCTGGAGCTGTCACATTTTTAACGGAACTCAAAAAGCGACGAAAAATTAAACTAAATCGCGTCTACAATTATGAGACGGACAAACACTTTATTAAGGCACGCAAATCGCTTAATTTTTAACATAACTAATTGTTTTGATGTAATCAGTAGCAATAATCACCTTTGATTTTAAATCAAATATATTTTTCTGAATCAAATACACATAATAATAATCAAATACAAATAAAAATATTCATGCCTTATTTCTAAATTGTATTTTTCGCGCTTTATATTATGTGGTCAGATAAAATTGTTGTGGTCACACTGGTCCTGTTGCTGTTATTCACCACAGCCGAATGCCACAACCGCTGTAAAGGCTTTGCTCGATTATTTGCTCTGGCAGCAAAAAGGATTCGACAAAATACATCTCTTATTCCATCAGATACAATAATATGATATCAGAGTCTGAATATTTTTTTATCAAATCAAAATATTTAAATCAAACACGTAGTTCAGAATACAAAATATATTTACATTCAAATTTTATTTATAATTTAAACGGTGCGCCATTTTTCGATATGTGGATAGAAAGAATTGTTATGGTCACACTCAAGCTGATGCTGATTTCAGCCCTGATTACCTTAAAACATCTGTTCGGGCGTGCTAATTAAATCGGTAGCCGTGGGGACACTGCTATTGCAACTCAATTTGTATAGGTTCCCTTGAAATATAAGACAGCCAAAACTATGGAAGACGCTCCAGTGACCAATGAGCCAAACTCAATCGAATCGGTAAAGGAGACAGAGAAACCGCAGCAGCATCATACGCCCGAGTTTTTGCAGCGCAAAATATATTTCCTAAGTATGTGTTTTTTGCATTTGTCAGCAGCTCTTATTTATCAACTTGTTGTTTTCAGTGGATCAGCTTAAAGAAATGCACGCCGAGCTCCCAGAGTGAGTGTTAAGTTGAAATCAACTGGAAACTGTTAAATATGCCATTAAAATGTAGAACCTTGCAGACACGCATCTCCTATGATCTGCTAACGGAACTGGCGAATTGTGTATTAAACGAAAGCATCTTCGATATAGTCAAGGCGCTAATGGAACTGCAGCATGTTACAGAGAAGCATCTGATACAAATGCGGGCGCAAGTGGAAAATGAATATGAAATTGAGGTGGCCGATTGGCGTGGCAAGATCAAGGATCCGGAGGAGCTTCAGCATATACTGGGTCTTATGAATATCAAGCACACCAAGAAATTGCTGGAAACCGACAAGAAAATAATCGAAGTGCTGGATCAGAAGGCAAGCTTACACCGAAACCTTAAGCAAAACAAAACCAATTTCTTAAAATATGCATTTAGGTTTATGACCAACAATCGATGCTGCAAAAGGCCGGCGTACCTGGTTTTTATAATACACAGAATCCCAAGGAAATCAAAATACAAATGTTCCTGCTAGATTTCATCTTACGTCTGAGCCGACTTAAATACGAGCCGAGCAAGTAGCAAACAGCTTGAGCTCCATTAAACACAAGACTGCAGCCTATTCCATAAAATGGCATTGTTATTTATGGTAAAAATATGTACATATATATAAATGAAATTACTCGTAGTAAATTATTTGAAGGCACTGTAAAAGCTGTTATTGAAAGCTCAAATAAAGAGCGCACGCTTGGCTAGCTTGACAACATGCTTGAATGTTGCCGCAACACTTTTACTAGTTGCTCCCTCAATCTCTCTCTCTTTTTTACTCTCTCTCTCTCCCACTGGATGAACAGAATGTTATCAAAGTAGCCAATGCGCTTTGGCGGGCGGCTATAAAATGAGTGGAAACTTGCTTAAAGTCAACAGTTGCTCGCATTTCTTAAAGCAAAGCATTACAAAAATCAACGTAGAAACATGTCGTTGACTATCACCAAAGATGTTTCGACTGCTGAGCTCAAGGATTTGGTAAGCACTCAATTATTAAAGTGACATTAAGTGTGTGCAAACAATTCAAATTAATTTCAATTAAGTTGCCGAGTGCTTTGAACTTTTGCAAGGCCAGTACAGCAATTTTGAAGCTTCTATTGCCGCATTGTTTCGATTTTATGGTGCTCGTCTTTAAGCGACAGCTCACATTGCTGACAGAAATTTGCTTTGGCCAGCTTTAGTAGCCGACCAACTAGCAAAGCTTTAACAACTGCCAAAAATGTTTGCGCGTCTGTTTCGTAATTTTAGGGCAAGTACAATGTGATTAAATACTTAAATTCTTATTACTTGCTGCCTAAGCAAAATATTAAACTATTACACGTGTGCCATAAATCGTTTCGCGTAACTTTCGTTTTCTTTGCATTAACTATTTGCACACCAAATTGACCTTGACTGGGCTGAAGCGACGCGACGCGTTACGACGTCGCTGTCGACGTCACAGCACGGCAAACAGCTGCTCTCTTCTCTCAAACAGCTGAGCAGCGCTGAGAGTGGCGAATGAATGTCAAAGAGCAAGTCAAAATGCAAAGAGCGTGAGCACAGCTTTCAGTTGTCGGCGAAACGCAGTCGTTGCCAAAGAACTTTAAAAGGCGACGCGTTTTTTTTTTTTTTTCAAATATACTTTACACGTTTGTGCATGATGCGCTGTCTGCCAGGCTTTGGATACGGACTCACCTTTCTGTTTCTGGTGTGCTGGCTGCGTAGAGTGCATTCAACTTGTCGCCCTTAATTCATTTTTGTTGTTGTTTCTTTTCTTTCCTTTAAACAGAGCACCGTGCGCAACGAGCAAAAGGAGCTGAATCTTGCGCCAGTGCATCGCTTGAATGTCAGCTATGCGACGGCCACATTTGGCATGGGCTGCTTCTGGGGCGCCGAGTCGCTGTATGGCGCAACGCGGGGAGTCCTACGCACCACTGTGGGCTATGCCGGCGGCAGCTCCGAATTGCCAACGTACCGTAAAATGTAAGCATTGTGCAATGGGACATCAATTGGGCTAACAAAGACCATTTCTGCTCTCTACCCTTCTGCTTTGCCCCCTGCTAACGCTTATCGCCTAACTAACCGCTCAACTCTATGCAGGGGTGATCACACAGAGGTGCTGGAAATTGACTATGATCCCACGGTGATCAGCTTCAAGGAGCTGCTGGATCTGTTCTGGAACAATCACGAGTACGGCCTGACCAAGCCCATGAAGCGACAATATGCATCGCTGATACTCTACCATGACGATGAACAGAAACAGATTGCTGAGGCCTCCAAGCTGGAGGAGCAGGAGCGTCGTGTGCCCGAGGTGATTACCACGAACATTGCGCCCAAGGAGAACTTCTATGCGGCTGAGGAGTAAGTTCCCAGAATTGAATTAACCTAAGTCCAATACTAATCCTCCTCTGTGCCAACAGCTACCATCAGAAGTACAGACTGCAGGGTCACAAGGACCTGGCCGCATCTCTCAATCTCAACCAACAGCTGCTGCAGACCAGCTACGTGGCCACCAAACTGAACGGCTATCTCGCTGGCGTCGGCGGCATTGAACAGTTCAAATCGGAGGTGGAAACGCTCGGATTGACGCCCACTCAGCGCCAGTACTGCAATTACCACATTGAACAGAACGAGGGTCAGGGTCTCTACTGCTGACCCAGCTATATAGATGTTAAGCGTAAATCTTATACATAGGGGGGTACATACTACAAATAATTTTAAATCATGTCCTTGAATATCCTTTTCTGTTTTGTGTCTGACAAAATGTGTATTACTTAATCTTAGACGAATATTATGCTAATAATTAAAAATAAATGTATATTTTGTAAAATTATCTTTTAACTGCAGTCTATATATCTAAATATGATCTGATCCTTGCCCAAACTGAAGAAACAGCTGTAAATTCCAACAGAGGTATTCTCTTCAAGAATCTGGGTTTTTGTTGATATTGGCGAACAAACTGAAGTTCTCTGAGCTAATGCAGTGAAACCCTAAAGAAAACACAAATAAAGTTCGAAAACAAAGTTATATTTAAAAAGTCATACGGGATCCGGTTTAATTTAAAGCTTAACATGCAGCTCTTGCAAGTGCATTTATCAATTATATACATATTCAAATATATATGTATATAGCTATATATATAAGGACATGTGCAGAAGCATGTGTGCTTAACTGGAAGTTGAATGAATGCAATCTAATACACGTTCTGTTATCTTGAGCCTAGATCTAATCGTAAATGATTTGATGGAAAAACGCTTTTTCATGGATCTATATACTTATTAGACATTCCACTTACAAATGGGCTATTCATGGTCATAAATTTGAACCGAATGACTGGCAAATTGTGTTCAATTAAAAAAAAATATATCACAAGGAAATTAGATTAGATGACATGATTAGATGAAAGTTTAAGCCATGATATAAGACTTAGTCATGTTTGGGAATTTAGAGCCAAAAAACAGAATTTAAAACAAATATATATCAGAAAGAAAAGCCAAACCTTAAGAGGCAATTATATATATAGATGATAAGATTTGAGTAACTTACAGATTGAGTCAGTTTTGAAATTTTGAAAACATGTCCAGTTTATATGGAAACTATATCTATGGAGGTCATCTATACCTATATCACAAGACCTATAGCTGTATCAAAAGTTATAAAGGCCAAAGCTTAGACTAGTATATATGCTTCGATTAGATTTAGGTTTAAGCTATGATATAAACTTAATAATATACGTACTTAGTCATATTTGAGAAACTAAGCCCCCTAAAACATGTCTAGGTAATATCTATAGAGGTCAGCCATAACTGAAATCTAAAAAGTTCATCAAACATGAAACTACACACATATAATTTAACACACGCCGTCACTCGCAGCACACCCCCCCCCCCTGCCATTCCCCTTCGAGCCAACGTAAAGTGCTTATACATGTTTTTAGTTGGAGCGCTCTCACCAGAGGCCCCGGCTTTCCCTCCTCTCCGGCTCTCTCTGTATATGGTGCCGTCTGGTGCTCCAACCGGCCGCGTGTCTCATTGATGATAAAGTCGCAGCGAAACTTTGAAATGCTTTTTTGTTTACAACAAATGCACGATTTAAAATGTATTTCTTTAATTGATTTGCACCTCAAAATGGCCAGCGATTCGCTTGAAATTTGGCCAATCGTTAGCTCGAGATGGAAAGTATCTGATTTTTCAAGAATCAACAAAATCGGAGCTGGCATTTCCGAGCTATAGACTTTTGCGATTTGCGCCTCTTGCGGCAAAGCGATTCCCGTCAATTTTGGCAGTCTTATAGCCAATACTCCCGGGCAGCTTTCCGCCAAATTTCAGCCAAATCCCGCCAAGCGTTAGCCTCCAGCGATTTTTCCAAATTCCAGCGTTATAAGCTTCATCCGGTTTCCTCGCGCTCACGTTCTTGGCACTTCATCGAAACGCGGCACGAGATAAATGCTTTAGTGTGTAATAGTTGTTGTTGGCGGGAACTGCTCTGGGCGGGGTTGGGCGGTTCGGAGATTGGGGCATGGCAATGACTGGGGCAGACGGCCCTAGGGAATTGCATGACATTTTACAAGTCATGCCGCTTCAAAAAACGGGGTCAACGGGGTTTGGAATTGCGGCTGCAATCGAAATGATTTGCATAAAGTTCTATTAATTGCGTGACAAAAAAATATATATATACAAAATAGTACAAATTTTTATATAATATTCAAAACATAACGGAATCGGTTCATAAATCAATTGTGTTGATTAAATGAAACTTTTTAAAGACAGTTGTGAAAGTCATGCAGCTGATAAATATTAAGTATATACACCAAAAAAATACCTGATGCAGTGAACTAATCCAAGGATTGGCCAAAAATAAAGCCGCAAGATAATGTGCCTTTAGATAAGCCAACACTTCAAAGGCTTTTCTCATATTTGACTCTCTCACTCGCTAATCCTGTCATAAAATTATATACCTTACCTCAAATTTCGAAATTATCTTGAAGGTTAAGGAAAGACACTTGAAAAATGGCAATGCCAAAAGGCAATGCTTTTTTGCTAATAACTCTTATCAAAGCATATCAAGGTTAGATGAATTTACTGCTGATAATAGAAGAGAACAATGCCCTAAGCAATTGACGTGAGATCGTTCCACGTTTCAATTACTTTCAATTGAGCCAAATAACTGAATTATTAATATTATTATTCTTTCTATAAGTAGAAGAACTATAAACCAAACTTTCTTCAGTCGAGGCCTTCAGCTAAGACAATAACCTTAAGCTTGATATGTTATATGTTAAAATCACTTCAAACATATTTTGTAAATTGTATTGAATGATATAATACCAAGTACCCAATTTCTTGCAGTGTAAAGCATATATATTATATAACTTCATTCCATGGGAAAGCTTATGTCTAAATTTCTATGATCTTGTAGCAAGTATTCTCCGATTTCTCCCAGTGCAGAACATTCAAATTCAGCTCAACAAAAGTTCTCTAGCAAAAGCCGAAGCTTGACATGATATCTATATAAATATCACTTCAATATCACTTCAAACGTATTTTCCATATAGTCAACGTTTCTTAAGCTTTTGAATTTCTTCAGCAAAAGTCGCTTTGAAAGCTTCCCAGATGCTTGCCCGCTTTCTCTCAGTGCAAATCGACAACAGCAAAAGCTTCTCTCGCAGCTTTCAGTACTAATTGTTGTTTAAAAGGTTTTTGTATTAACTAATTAAATCACCATTGCATACTTAGAACAACTTATAAAAAACGACTTAAAAATAAAGCATAAGGCACGGAAGCACTGCATTCGATTGCAAAATCGATCGATCGTTATCGATCACAAGATCGATCAAATTCTCATTGTGAGGCGTCGCATCGGCTTCCTCTGCTCGACCTCGCAGCGCTGACGGCGCAGTCGCAGCAGCTCATCCGCCTGTCGCTCCTTGCGCAGCTCCTGACTTCTCGGGGATAAATCTGGCTTTGCTGCGGGCAACGGCAGGCGGCGGCAGATGACGAACTCTTCCTGCTCCTTGGCGAACAAGTTCTGCTTGCGTATGCGAACCAGACGTTTGGGCGTGGCTATCAATGGCTCCTCAAGCTCTACGGTGTCCACCTGCTCCTCTGCGCTTGCGTCCAGCAACAGCTCCTTGAACATATCGTCGATGGCTGTGTAATATAACGTGGCATTGGAGGCGGACATGGCTCAAAAGGACCTGACGCTACGCGGGCTAAAACTGAACTGTGATTGACGCGAGACGAGGCCACTTTCCACTTTTCAACCGGCCATTTTCAACCCTCGATTTTCTCGACTACCTGACCCGACCCGATCGCATCCAACAAAGGAATACGGGAAAAATGTTTATAACAGCTGCTAACAGATGAGGGTTCGCCAGCGGGAGGTCGATCTCTCGCTCTCTCTCTCTTTCTCTCTCTCTCTGTTGCTTGGCTCTCTCTTTTCATTCCCGGTAAAAATATACCAAAAAATTGTGATATTTCCTATGAATCATATAACGCCCATTGCGTTATCGGCCAAACCCAGAACCCAGCCAAAAACCCCTCTAAATGGGCCATACCAACTATTTGGGCACAATCGACCAGATAAGACAAAACCAATTATATGGGAATCCGGCTCAACGATACGCGATTAGATTATGGACACACAGCTCAAAATTTGTAGGGTGTAGTTATTTCGTTTTTTTTATTATTATTATTTTATTCGTTGACTATTATAACTTATATTATAAATTCTTTTGAGCGTCGCATTACTCTAGACCTCCTTGTTGAAGTAATCGCGTATACTTCTCTTGACAATTGGCAGCATTTTCTCCACCTGTTTCTGTGCATCGTTGTTGTTGTCCTTGTGGTAGTAGACGGTGAAGTAGACGATCAAACCGATAATTACCAAGAGAACTATGAAAGAGCATATAATGCTCATGACCATTTTGCAGGCGCATTGACAGCAACTAAAAATGAATTAAAGAGCGAGAAATTAATAATACGAACTAAATTTAGTGATTCAAGCTGGAATGATTGGCTTTGAGGTAGCTCAATTAATGATATACTCGAATAACTAGCTTTGTTTAATGATTAATCAAAGAGTTTTGTTTAGTTTAGCTAATAAATCAGTGTGCAAAATATTCATGGAAATTTACGCCGAACACAGTGCAAAACTCTCGAGGAAAAACTCAGGTGTGCCATAAATCAATTAGAACTGAAAATCCAATAAATAAAACAAGTGCATGTTTATAGCACGAATTAGCTGATAATAGCTCTATACGCTCTTTCCCAAACTATCTCGAAAAAAACCCCCATTTAGCATGCCTCCTTCAATAGACACATATATATATTCTTAAGATTTTCCACCTATATCATTCCGAGGCTGAGTCACGACGGGTTGTGGCACTTCAAGACTTACCAGCAAACCACTTTGCCCGGGCATTTTAGGCACTCCCAACAAGCGTTGCACATTTTAATTAGTGTTTCGTTCACGTATATGCCTCAATAAACAAAATATATATAGTATATAGCCTTTGCGGAATAATTTGTAAACGTTCCGTCTGTTCGCAAAACAAAATAACAACTGAAATAATCGTTGCTCACAAACCAAATTGTAGCATTCAGTTGTGAAAAGCTTTAATCATACCGTGGCGCGGTAAAAAAAAAAAAATAATAATAATAATAGTCTGATAACATGACATCGGTAATCAACGCTCCACCTGGGTGACAAAAAAAAAGCTTACTGACGAACCGATACACGGTTTTCCATAGGTTGACCGAACTCAATACAGCGTCATGTTCGTCATATTTAGTCGGGTTGCATTGTTTAGGACAGCATCAAATTCCAGGGACTTCTCCATTGTAGTAGCACCTGATTTCATGTACTCCGAAACGCCGAAGATGACCAAGCTGCCGGTTAGGCCGAAGGCAACCAGGATCCAAACGACGCGACTTACAGCCAGCACAAAAAGTAGCTCCACAAAACTGAAAATGAAAATATATATATAGATTTAGCTCGAACAAAATGATATATAAAACCTGGTGCTGTCCTACCCAAAAAACAAGTAGCCAATTCCTCGAATCGCCAGAAACGAAAATTCAAAGAGGCAACGGCGTAGGCACATTGCAGCCTTTTGGTAGTAAGTCCTTAGAAAACCACTTACAAAAATACTATTAATTTATGATCTACATAACTGAAATGAAAATCGGATTAATATAGCACAGATAGATTTGATAAAAGTTCACTTTTAAAAATATCGTGACAAATTGCTTTTGGCCATTTGAGATAATACTAACATAATAATACAATACATCTATATAAATATCATTTGGGGATTTACAAAAGTACAGGAAACTATTATCAACAATTGTGTAAATAAAGAACACATCTGGCTTAGTTTTTGGTAAAAGCTAAAGAAACAATTCAAATTATTGTAGATTAGATAATGGCACATGAATGGTGCGTTTAAATCAGGTATGGTAAGTCATAAAAATAATGATTAGGTCAAGAAATAGAAGAAAATGTTGGGGATGTCATTCCATTGATCGATCAGTTCCTCAAATTATGGTCTTGCAATAAACGCTATTAATAAAATAATACAAATATCATGAATTTGTTTTATAACATGAGTTAATAGCAATTTTGACAGAACTTATTTTATGCATTTAAGCGTTTTGTTCTTATCAGATAACATTAAATAAAGCTTACATGCACTATCAGTACGCATTATATATGTATATATGCATGCGTGTGTGTGTGCATGCATGCACGTGTGTGCATGTATGTATTTATGTATGTGTGCATGGTTTGCTCTATATTACAAAAATACATATGTGGATGAAAATATGTTTGTGCATATGTATGTATGTGCGTATATATGTGTGTATGTATGTCTGTATGTATGTCCGTATGTATATATGTACATATGTGTATATGTCTGTATGTATATGTATTCAATTATCCAAATGAAAATCAAGCTGCGCTGCAAATTTGAAAATGAACGTAATTTTAATGAAGCTCTCCTCCTCGATTCTCAAAAATTCAAGTAGGGCTTGAAGAATTTCTTGTCTGACCAGTCAGTGAAGTGTTACATACAAGTGTCGTGTTTATCTAATAAAGTTAATTGTGTGTGTGTGGACTCATGTGCGTATGTATGTATGTGCATGTGTATGTATGTATGTATGTATGTATATATGTATGTATGTACATATGTATGTATGTATGTGTGTTTATATGTAAGTATGTAACATACATACATACATACATTATTTGTATGTATGTTTGTATGTAAGTATGTATGTATGTTTGTATGTATGCATGTATGTATGTATGAATATATGTTTGCTTATGTATGTTTGCCCATATATGATATGTATGTATGTATGTATATTTACATATCTATATGCATACGTATGTACATGCGTATATCTATATTTACGTGTACCATACTTTCTGCTGCGCTGCAATTTACAATGCAATTCTCATGTGTTCAAAATTCACAGGTTTTTACTTAATTAATACCTCTGGTCTTGCTCTTACTCAAGTTTACTCTCGTCCCGTCTCTTGCTTTCTCTTTCTCTCTCTCTCTCTCTCTCTCTCTCTCTTGCTTTAACTCTAATCCGCTCCCTACTTTTTGTGTTCGTTTTTTAAGTGTATGTATATATATAAAACTGTCTTCATCCTTTTAATATGGTTATAGAATAATAATAATATTTATATTATATTATAAGACTATCTGTTAAGGCAGTTCCCGTGCACGGGCTATCTATGATATTTGTCAATAATGATAACAACCATTTATGTGAGTCATTGCACAACAAAAAAGTTCACGTATCCGTAAATACGTTAACAGCAATATTGTTTAACAATATTTGAGGCATCGATGATTTAATACCCTAAAGATACAATCGTGCTACCTTTATAAAATATAAAAGTTATAAAAGAAATTGATCCAGCTTTATAAATCCGCTAAGTTATTGACTTTAAAGTTTCATCAAGTTTCTTATGGCGATATAGTTGTTTTATCTTGAGCAATGACACTTTTATAAAGTCTGTAACGAAAATAAGTATTTATAATAGATTCCCAATGCATGAGTACTAACCATAAGTCTCATACCTTACGGAATATATCAGCTGAGACGGATATATTCCTATTACATATTACATATTTCGTCAAAGAACGAAACTTCTTTTTTTTGGGCACTTGTTGAATGCAGGTTGCCGGTTTATTTAATTTGTCGGCTGACACACGATATCCCAAATGCTGAGATAGACACATTTGACGAATGTGTTTAACTGCCTTGACTTGGCCAATTTCCATTTACAACGTAAGCAGTTGTTGTTTTGGGGGCCGCCTTAGCTGAGTTCCAGTTGCAGTCCGCTCGCTTAACGATGGACACACAAACGCGGCTCCGTGTCTACGCTGTGCTCTTAATCTCTCTCCTTGAAACGGGACCCTGTGCAGGCTGGTCGCTGTCTCAGGCGGGTCTCAACAACTCCAGTTACAACGTGCGTCACTTGTCCACACACTTTTCGCGGGTGTTTCTCAGCATAAGCGTGGAGCATAATGACTTTCCCACACTGATTGAAGCACAGTGGCCCGTTTCCTATTTGCCCATGCGCACGATCATCTTTCCCAACAGCGAAGTCCATGCAAATAGAGCCGAGCTCAAGATGGACTGCACGCGTCTGCAGCAGGCACATTGGTCACAAGTGGATAGCCTGAGCCGTCTGTGGGTCATGGATGTGGGCTGGCCAGACAATGAGTGTGCGCCCAAGCTGCTGGTCTTTGATTTGATACGGAACAATGCTGAGCTGCTGCGCATCGACTGTGGTCAGCACATTGACGCCAATGCCACGCAGAGCCTGGTGGTACATCTGGGCCCCAAGCCAAGTAGCTGCGAGCTGGAGCGCCACATTTTCTTTATATTGGATGGCCAGCCGCATATCTTGGCATATGATATACTAGAACAAACCTGGCATCGTCGTGAGCTAAAAAGCAAAAAATATGAAAGCATGAGTCAGGCGTTTGCCATCAAGCCAATTGACTTTACATTTGGCGTGCAGGGCGAACTGATTGTCTCGGATCAAGATGGTGCACTTTACAGTTCCATTAAGAGGCTGCAATTAATGGGCTCCACACAAGCCTCCCTCTCGTCCTCCTCCTCATCATCGTCAGATACGCTGCACATACAGCTCACACGACTGGGCAGTTTGTTGGGCCCCAGTCGCAGCATGATAATGGATTACTTCGGAGCGCTGTTCTATGTGATGCCCAAATTTGGCGCAGTTGTGCGTTGCGCGCAGCTGGCAAATTTAACCGCCGAGGGTAATGAGATTATTTATTTAACTTCTAAGAATATACAGCAAATATTCTTCGGAGTAGAGGGCGCCGTTTGGGTGCTCAGCGATCGTGTGCTTAAACCGCAAGACATTTGCTATCCGGGCCTATGAAATCAAAATGTGCAGAAAACAAGATGGAACCAAAACTAACGGCACTTGCTCAGCTGTTTAGTGTGGGTGAACGTGGAAATTATCGATTAGTGGCGCGCCAAACAATAAACATCGATAAGAGAAAAACTATTAAACAATGCGATTCGATTTATTTGTGTCGGCATATTGTGTATTTAATTTCGTTTTGGTTTATCGTTTGCCCTCGGGTAACATAATTCCATTATAATATTGCGGCATATTGATAGCTATTAAAATTTAATTGGTAACAGTTTGTTTATTAAGATATCCCATTAATGCCTGCAGACGCTTCTTAATGTTCTTCTGATCGTCCAGAGTGCAGCCAAGCAAGGCACTTTCGAATTTCTTATCGATCGGACCCACATCCGCTTCGTGCAGTGTGCCCATGCGACCATTGGGATCTATGGTGCTGGTGCAGCAGGCATTTAAATATAGCTGACAACGCTGACGTCCAATGACAGGATCACCCATTTTGATCATTGTATCGATTAAGGCATTAATCTGGCTGAGCGAATCCTCCTGGGAAGCGTCCCTAACGGTACGCACATTCAGCTCAACCGTGGCAAGGCGCGAACTAACGCGTTGTATGTACAACATGATCTCCTCGCGCTCCCCTGTGTATTTAAAAGATTATCTAGTTTAGTTTTTCAGTTTTACATTGAACTCAAAATCTGTTTACCCTCACTCATGTTTTGCAGCAATTCGTTGCTCTTGATGAGATCCATGGACATTAAGAGGTAGTCTTTCTTTTCCTGTAAATTCAAGGAATCCTTGCGGAACTTCTCCACGCGCGCATCCAGCTGATCGAGTATTGTAACAAATCTGTAAACGGACATAACATTAGTTTATGTTTATTAAGCATTAGTAATAGTTGTGGTTTTACCGCTCGTTCGCATTGAAAGGTCTACCCAATGTTGGTTATTTTATGTTGTTGTTGTTGATGATGATATGAAAAGACACAAGCAAAGTTGTTGTTAAACGTTGTTAGGCTGTAGAAACTTAATAAGAATACAGAGGCACTCACACAACGTTTATTATTATTACTTTTTTGGACATTGTGTGGGCGACACTCAAAACACTTTTGGGCTACCACCATACTTTTGTAATATTATAATTATTAGACACTACCAAATCGAGTTGTATGTGAAAAAAAAAATATATATATATGATATTCTACATAAGCTGATGAAACATAAGGTAGCAGCGTGAAAAAAAATACGACAAAAGGCCACAAATAATAAATAATTTTAAATTTAAATTTTTGTTTCGAGAGATGTTTGTTTTTGTTGTGGTGTTGACTAGTAGTAGGTTTTTTTTTTTTTGTATGTAGTTTGGAATAACAACCTGTCCAGCGCTCTACTGTCGTCGACAAGTCCATAAGAGGTGTTGCCGGAGCCAAGGGAACCGCCTGATGACGATGCTGCATCCGCATGCAGGCCTTGCAAATAATCAAAATTCATTGATGATTCCGAATGATAAACGTGTGATGTGTTGTGGTTATGCTGATTATCGTCGTCGTTGTGCTCCTGCATGCCAAGCGCAATTGGAGCATCAATATCCATATCCTGCGGCTGATCCAGGGTGCCAATCAAATCTGTTGCAGCCGTCCGGCCTCGGTGCCAGATCGAACTTAAGACCAACGATAAGCTGTTAGATGCCTCTCGCTCACGCGCACGCTCTCTCTCTCTCTCTCTCACTCTCACCCTCTCTCTTTCTCTTTTTGACTTTTGTTACAGTTTCAAAGCTCGCGCCTTTTCAGCAAACTTGATCGGCCTTTTGGGCTGTTATGGAATGTGTTAAGCTTTTTGTGTGGGCTTGTTTTTTGTTTTATTTGGCTGATGCTTATACTGTTTATATATGATAGCTACACACATACACACTCACCGGCTGCAAGAAGAGAGCAAAAAGAACTTTTATTTAGTTATTAATTACCTATCGATTTGCGAGTTGCTAAAATATGCGCCAGTCCATTCGGCTGGATGGGCATAATTTTCATCATCATTGTATTCGTCTTCGTCGCTGTCGTAATTGGAACTGGGCTGAGGAGACAGTTGCTCATCGCAGCGGCGACGTTTACGAAAAATGCCAAGCAAATTCTCAAACATATTTTTCTTACGTACACACACAAGTAAACAACAAAATTGACACTTATTTTATATGCTGCTGGCGCAATGAATTGTTCAAGACGTCTATAGAACTTTCCAGTAATATCGAGGCTGCTCTGAAATGTTGTATATCGTTGAAGTATAATGGCAACATACATTTACCTGCAGGTGTTAACTGTTACCAGGTAAACTAGTCAATTTTATTATTGATTCGGATTCGTAGCGATTTTTCAATTACAAAAAATAACTCCTTTCCTTTTTGTTTACTTTGTTGCTTGTCGTAAAACTTGTATGCTGAGTTTTAGTAAGGACATAGTTAAGCTATATTCTTGGGTTTTATTATTTAATTCATCTTATTTAGCAGCGCTGCACAATTTATCAGTTTAATTATAAAAAAAATCGTGTAAACAGTGGCCAGGCCAGCAACAGTGTGACCGCCGCATAGAAAATTTTGGTGTAATATGGCATGACATCACGACAAATATTAATCGGCTCGAATAGGCGGATACTTAGTATCGATTAATTGCTACCGATACGGTCACTCTTTTGTGTGTTTTTTTTGTGGAACTGTCGATATCGATTATCTTATTACTAGTGGCGCGGAAAATTCAAATCCCTCACACACAGCGCCGTGCGTGACCATTGGCAGGTTTTGGTGATCACATCGAAAAAGTAGTAAAACGGGCACTGCTGCAAGGTTGCATGACCTTTAACACAATAAATGAAGAATTCGCAGCGCTGCATATGCGGATACAGATGCTGCCCATAGGCCGGGCAATGCAACAGCTCGCTGGCAATATCACTAGGCGGCTGCACAGGCACTATATTCTCCTCCAGCGTACACTTGGCGCGCTCCGGCAAGTCACATTTGGCCGTCACTGCATTCCAGTGCAGCTCCACACTGCACTCTTGCAGTATAGCCTGTCCATAATAGCAAATGTAATAACTATTGCAACTGCTTGAGCTGCCAATATACACAATCCGATCAGTGCCCGCCTGTGGCGTTAACGTCGCACAATAAGTAGCCGCATCCGTGACCATGTTGTTCAGCTCGTTTTGGTCGGTGTCAGGTGCATTGCTGATCTCGCTGCTGGTGTTATTCTTGCATGTAACATTGTCAGCCGTATCACAAATTTTGTTCACCTTATTGTAATACATATTGGACGGGCAAGAGGCAAGCACAGCATCGCCGTTGTCCTGGCACAAATAGAACATGCGACAGTCGTCGGGATGCTCCACAAAGCTGCCACTCGCATGATTCAAGCACATGCTCACAGCACTCTGTCGTATGGTCACCGAATTGGTGGGTTTCCGTATGCTCCACTGCATTCGAGACGTTGACAAGGTGGAGCACAGCAGCAGCAGGCAGATGTCTAAAATAGAAATATGGTTAAAAGAAGGCATTGGGCCGAAAGAAAGAGCAGGATCTACCAAAAAGTTTCCAGTTGTAGTCCATTTGAATGTGTGTCAAGCTTCAGTAGAGCACAATTTTATTCTAATTTCGTAATGCGCCAAGAACTTGGCATATATGCGACAGCATAGCATCAATATCAGAAAATTAACATTTTTCAATTGCGTGTCAACGTTTCGATAAGGCCTTCAACCAAAACAATTTCTGCACTACTTTTTTTTTGCCATCCAATCGATCGACACATATTGATTCCAAAATTACCAACAATATCTCAGCCAGAGGCATGAAAAGAAGCGCATTCTGCTACGTTCATAATTTTACAATTTCGATCCCACAGAGAACCAACAGACTTCAACGCGAGATTAGCTGCCATAGATTGTGGCAGCGACATTAAAAGCCCAATTAATTATGTTATGTTGTGTGTGCGATGATAGCAAGAAGTACAAGCAGATATTTGTCCTTGGCTCGATAGCTGCCCTATCGGTCAATGGGGCTTCATCTTTAGTGATAGCTGGCCCATTTCTAATATCTGAATTTCCTACAAAATATTTCATTGTGCAATGATTCAACAATTGGCTCTGATAAAATTGTGACGAGGCCTTGAAAACAAGCCATGATTACCTGTGCTCCCCGTGAGATTGCGAAATAGCAAAAGTGATTTTCCAGAAGCTATCCGTAGAGCTATATTTACGGGCATGACGCATAAGTTTGTCAAGGTATTTATTTGGGGCGATCTTTTGGCAAATGGAAAACCCTTTCCAAGCCGAGTTACAAAATGGTTTGTATAAATACACAAGTCAATAACTAGATATATATCGTTATAGGGATCCCTCCTTTTTAGGCCTTGGCATCCAGTCAGTCATTTAGAGAGGACGCTGGTTCAAATCCTACACCAGGTAGTACACTCTTCTAGAGATTGCGATTTTTATAATTTAAGCTTCGCTTTAAATGAAGTACACAAAAACTTAATCATTTATTTTTCTCAGATTAGTTTAGAGAAGGTTTATGAGGTTCCTTTAAAGTCATGTTTTATTAAAAGTAAATTTGATTTCGCATAAATAGAATTTATTAAAAGAGTCGTGTTCTGCCGTAGCACCTGGCATGCGCGATCGCCACGCAGGAACGCTTCTCGTAGTCCCAGCCGTAGAAGAAGGGGCACTGCTGGAGCATCAGGTAACCATTGCGGCAAAAGTAGAAGTAGTTGCAGTTATCGGGATGCGGATAGATATCCACGGTATGCGACTTGCATTGTTCCCGCACGCTTATAGTTGATCGCTGCAAGGGAAATATGGATATATTATTAGATAGAATATTTTAATCTAGATATATATTTGTATCTCGTGTGTCACCCACCAAACAGTTGACTATTTCGGCCTTATCGCATTTGCCGGTCTTGACATTGAAGTGCAGCATGGCGGCACAGGTCATGGCCAGCGGCTTGCCGTGATAGCATATGAAGTACTCCGTGCAGGACTTGTCGTGGCCCATCAGCACAATCTGATTGTAATTATCCGTGGCTGGACAAGCGCTGGCCACCAGGGTGACCACCTTATTCTCCCCAAGGCTGACAGGCGTTGTCTGAAGCACCGCGCTGGCCGTGGACGTGGCCGGGCTGGAGGCTGACGCAGCAGTCACGACATCAGTCACAGTGACTGCTGGCAATTCGGTGACTGTGATCGAGCCGGCACCCTCCACCGTTTGCAGCGGCAGGCCGGTGCGACAGTCCACGTCCTGCATGGGCTCACACATGCCCAGCTGGGCATTGAAGTAGTCATTCTCCTCGGGACACTCGCCCTCGAAGGAGTCCTCGCCGCTGCAGAACACGAAATGTGTGCAACTCTTATTGGACTCCACAAAATTGTTATTATTCTCCGCGTTGCACTGCTCGAAGATGTCGCTGGCCGCCAAATGGCAGCTGGCGACCAAAAGCAGCAGCAATAAGTTTTTGCTTAGATGATGCATGGCCTCCGCTTCGAGACGTTGTCGATGGGCGACTAAAGAGCCGAGTTGGGTTACGGAAACATTTTTAATGAGCTGCCTCTTATCAGGCCTTTTAATTTACGCTGCGAACATGTCATGCAAAACTCCTGCTGATTGTGTTGACTTTATTATTGCCACCCCTGTTAGGCTAGAGCTATGAGGGGCTTACAATTGATAAGGGTTTGAGCCAGTGCATTGGCTCAGCGCTACATCGAAATGGAAATGCTGCGGGCACTGCTGCAGCAGCAGATACCCGGCGATGCACTGATAATAATAGTTATTGTTCGCCGGATAAGGATAGACGCCGTTCTGACCGCTTCTTCGGCAGATCACTTGAAGGCTGCTCGTCGTGGTGGTCGTCGTGGTGGGTATCGAGGTGGTGCTCCTGGTGGTGCTGGGGTTTGAGTTTTTACTGCTGCTGCTGCTGCTGCTGCTGCTGCTGGTTGCTCTGGAAGTCTCAGTGCTGCTTGCGGCTGGCTGCTCCGTTGCCAGCTCCGTGCTCTCCGGCGATGTGGTTGTCTCCGTGTCATTTGAGCCGTAGCAGCTGACCGGCTCGTTGCAGTCGCCGTTGCAGTAGTAGGAATCATCGCCATTGCAGTAGACATATTCGCTGCAGTCGGGATTCGGATTGGGCACGCGGCTAATGATGACGCCCTCGCACTCCTGCAGAAAGGCCGCCCGCACCGCCCGGGAGCCCAGCAAGGCCAGCAGGCAGCCAAAGACAATTGTTAGAAGTTTCAACATAAATAGGTTGACATCAATACTGTTGAGATCCGCAGCCGGAGTCGGCTGCTTTATAGGCGTTTAGAGGCGCACGCAGTTCGCAGTTCGATAAGGCGATTAGTTCATATTTATTAATTGTGTTAATTGCACAGCACAAAAAAAGCAAAGACAACGAAAAGCTTAATTGGTAAATGTTCGCCTCAGCTCACGGCTGCCGGCACGCGGCCACATCTTGGATGCGTCCGCTGCACTTGCCAGCCAGTTCATTGTAGGCGTAGCCGATGGGGCACTGCTCCACAATCAGAAAACCATCCACGCAATAGTAGTAATAGTTGCAGTTGCCGGGATACATGTACTTCTTGGTTACGCCGCGCCGGCACAGCGCACGCACGTCCAGCGTAGCCGGCGTGGACACAGTGGAGTCGGTGGAGCTGTCGCTGCTGGTCGTTGGGGCGGGCTCCTCGTCGGCGGGCAGCGGCAGCAGCGTGGTGCTGCCGTTCGTGGCCGGCGGGCAGGTGTATTCCAGGTCGCAGAGCACGGTCGAATCGCAGAACTGCGAGTTATCGCCATCGCAGTAAATTAGGCTGTGGCTGCAATTGGATCGCGTGTTGTTAATGAATGAATTGGCAGCCACGGAATCGCATTCCGGAAACTCGGCTGCGTCGACGCTGATCATGACGACGGCGGCCACGACCACGACGACGGCGACGATGACGGGCCGGATGTCAATGCGTACGGATTGTCTCATTGTGTGCGGCTGCTTGGAGTTGTGCTTAGGCTTTTTATATTTTCCCACAAGAGTTTGTCTTCTAAATAGTTGCATTTAATTAAACGACTCGTGTTTAGCTAGACTTATCAGAGAGTAGGGCGCTTATCAATTAAAGGTATACAATATTATGTCTCTTTTTGTTTTGTTTTTTTCTTTCAGATAGAGCTGTGCTGGGTAAACCCGTTACAGGGCGTTTCGGGCTACGCACGTCTGGAGCTGCCGTAGCATTTGGCCACATTCAGCTGCACGCAGCTGCGTCTCTCGATGTCCCAGCCGTAGTAGAAGGGGCACTGCTGCAGCGTGAGGAAGCCCTTGATGCAGTAGTAGAAATAGCTGCACTTGTCCGGATGCGGAAAGAAGTCGGTCATGTGCGGCAAACATTTGTGCGCCGCCGGCTCATCCAGCTGCAAGGGCAAAATAATAATAATTAACACATGAAAGGAGCTGCGTTTCACGGCTTAAACCTACCGCGCAGTGCACATTCTCCGGGTAATCGCACTGTCCGGTGGTTGGATTGAAGTGCAGCTGATTGGTGCACTGCATCTGCATGGCATGGCCGTGATAGCACAGATAGTAGTCCGTGCATGATTCATTGTTGGCCATAAATATAACCTGGCTGGGATCATCGCTCTGCGGGCAGCTGGGCTTAACGATGGGCGCCACATTTACCACATCCACCTGGGCGGGCGTGTCCATGGTTGGCGGCGTCGGTTCCGGCTCTTGTGTGGGCTGCACAGCCGGCTCCTCTGGCTCCTCCTCCACTGGCGGCTCTTCGACCTCGTCCAGAAAGCAGCTCACATTGGCCGCATCGTCGCACGTGCCCGATTCGGGATCAAAGTATTGCCCGTCATCGCATTGACCCAGTATGGAGTCGTCGCCATCGCAGTAGACATACGCCTGGCAGCTCTCGTAGCTGGAGACGAAGCTTTCGGCATCTGCATCCGAGCACTCCTCGAATATGTCCGCTTTAATATGCGGCCAGAATATGAAGACTAGCGCAAAAAGAAGCGACGATTTGGACATTTTGTTAACTTCAACTTGGTTTCTTAACTGAGCTCTCACGGCGACAGTTCCTTTGAATTTATGGGCTTGATTTTTACCGATAGAACTTCCGAACAGAAAATCTGATAAGAACATGCATTTCTTTTTAGTCTAATTGAATACTGTTTATCAGCATGGCCTCAAAATTTCATATACTTTGCTAACACAATGTTCTCGCCCGCGTGAATCACAGCATGCGTAAATTCCAACCAACATATATCACATATATCACATATATCACATATAGCACATTATGTCATCGATTGTCATTACAACAGCGGGGCAATGGACCACTCGAAACACTCTCCGTGTTTACATAAGCTCGGGCTATGATTTTTGTTTTTCTTTAATTTTAATTAATATTCAATATATGCTCACCAAGTGCTTTTTTTCTGCGTCTTTCTGCCCAAAGCCAAAGCCAAAAGCGTGAAAAGGCAGGCGGCGGCAGCTGAAGAAATCATTGACCTCAACAGCACCGCATTTTGGCCGTATTTTGCTTATAGAGCCCGAAGACCGCTAAAAACGTGCCCCAACTCATATATATATATATTGTATACCTATTTCGCTACAGGTGCGCGTCGGCTATTACGTTTCTCTGATGCAGCTTGTAACCAAGTCCAGCAAAGGGGTCAAGCCTCGCCTTAAGCTTCACTTCGTAAACCTCGTCTCGCCCAATTGTTTAGCCAGACTTTCCACATTTTCTGCCATTTTACAAGACATGGATTCAAGTCCTTAAATAAAGTTTATATATAAATTAAATATTAAATAAATAAATAAATATTTTTAATATTGCTCCGGGAATATTTCTATTGTTGCAATTCATAAATGGTCAAAATCGATTTATTTATAATTAAATGAATTAATCATTTTTATGTTTATTTCATAAAATTTGTTCATTTTTCACACTGAAAATATCGCAAGCACAGTGTTAAAAGCTCAAATGTTGTGCAATCATATTTTCAAAGATTAAAACAAATGTCTTCTTTTAAACAAAATCATTTCTCATACAAATATCAAAATGTTTCGAATGTGAACTGTTTTGCAGCCCTGGTCTTTCGTACTTATTTTATACTCTTGTGAGAACTTCAATATTTTGAACGTAGTCTTCTTCTTTCAAATATGTCCTTTAATTGACTTGGGGTTCTTTTATGGTTAAAGAAAAAAACAACAGGAACTCGGGGTTCACATCATTTTAGTTCAAAAACAGCTAGGAGCCCTGGTTCTTAGTACTTTAGAGAAGTTCAATATTTCACATATCCTTTTTTAAATGAGAAAAGCAACTAGAACTCGGGATTCAAATCATTTCGGTTCAAAAAAGGCTGCAGCCCTGTTTTTTTTTTGGGAATTATATTGCCCTCTACTTGAGAGGTCCTGCTCCAAGTTTTAGGTTCAGCTTCAATGGATTAATCTGTTTTAAGCCAAGGTTCATGGTAAATGGAACTGGAATTCGGACTTCAAAGAATGTTGACTTTCAGCCCTGGTTTTTTCTGGAACTTGGATTGCCCTCTGAGAGAAGTTTAATATATTCCATATATATAATCTATTAATATTAAAATAGTTCAGCTTAAATTGTCTAATCTGTTTCAAACCAAGGTCCATGGAACTGTAATTCGGGCTTTAAAGAATGTCGACTTGCAGCCCTGGTTTTTTGGCACTTGGATTGCCTTCTACTGAGTTAGGCGCGTTTCCAGCTCGTGAAGAGTCGAGAGAACCCTCCATAGTGCCCGCTGTTTGTTGTGATATAAATCACACAATTATGTGAGTTGAGTTTTTGCAACATCATGGGACCCGGGACCCGTGGCAGGCGACGTTGGAGTGGATGGCATATCATCTATTTCTATTTTCTAAATATGCACACAAAATCTAATTTATTGTCAAGCATTTGGCCAATACGATAAGACAAGACGGTCCGGACGGCCGGACGGCTGACTTTATCACGGTCGCAGCGACTGCCCTGCACCTGTAGGCCGAACAAAAAAAAGGAAAAATTATTAAAAAATAAATATAAATAAATGAAGGCAAACAAGAGCGCGAGGATTGTCTCGAGCAGCCCTACCATATACATATATTTGTTTAAACAAGTGCAAACGTAACCAATTTTTCCATGCATCGTTGTTTTTTTTGTTACCATAGATCATTTCGTATGAACCATATTTGCTTTGTAAAATGCATTGACAGACGGACGGACAAAAGACACGATCGGATCCATACAAAGGGCTGCTCAATGCACGCGCTTTGTAGACTCAGTTGTAAATGGAAGACGACGACGACGTCGGCAAAATGTCTGCCGGTGCGGATCTGTTTATATGTTTACACACGGACAGGTACACACACACACACAGAGACGCACACACATGCCAGAATTGTAGCTCGATCAGTGAACTGCATGTTTAATTTACAATGCACATGTACATTTATTTACAAGCATGTGTTCATTTCATTGTACAGCTTGCAAGACATTTATATTAAGCCAGCCGAAACAAGTGCCATGATATATGTATGTATGTGAGCATTATGTCTGTAGATGTATGTGTATGTATGTGTTTTAAAGTATAAATAGAATACCATGATGATGACAATGACAATTGGCTTTCATAGTCCTGAGGGAACCAATATTATATATTGGCCGTAATGAAGTCACGCTTATATTTGTATTTCTTCTTGTTTTCTTTCATTGTATTTTGACAAAATATCCAGTGCGGCAGTACCGACTAGTTAATACCCTACAAGCTATATAAAATACTCTTCCGGAAGTATGGCTTATGACTTTGTGGATTTGTGGGAAGTATTGTGAAGCTCGTAATTGTGGAGTTAAGTCAAGACTACTTAAGCTCATTCTTGCGATCCTTTCTAATAGAGTTGTATGATAAAGTAGACTAATGCTGGTTCGATTTTGTTAATATGTAAGCAGAAGAGTTACTCATATCTTGAATAACAAAAATAAATTCAATTCTCAAACGTTCTTTGTTCTTATGGCAGCTCTGATATAGTAGTTTGATCCGCCCAGTTCAGCGTATCTTCCAGTGTGTATCTTCATGATAATATCTTTAAAGCTGAGAGACGAACTTGCCTAGAAGCAGACGGACAGTTGATCAGTTGATGCTGATCAAGAATATATATGCCATATGAAGTCTCCTTCCAGCTCAAGACAAAATTATATTTTTAATATAACTGTCTCATAGTGAATGCCTTAACTCAGATACCCTCGGCAGGGCAAACGCAGTTCCAGTTTTGTTTTGGCGAAAAACAAAGACTGTCAAATTCGCAATTTACAATGTGATAATGATGAAACTATGTCAAATTTATGTCATGGATCTTTTCGCTCTTTATAGGCAACAAATTCAAGTAATAGAGCTGAGATAAATGTCGAATCTTTATGCACCTAGCCATCTTTTTTTTTAGTAGGCCAAAGTGATATCTTTTATGCTTATTATTTAGATATTTTTCTTGGAGGTGTCTTTAATCAACAATCGGCTTTATTTACACCTGCAACATCATGAGCTAAGCGAAGATAAACATATGCACATATTTTTAGCTGCTGGCATATGTTTTTCTTCTTTTCATTATTTTTTTATTCTTTTGTCCCATCAAATATTACAGACACAGCTGCTTTTCACGAAACTAATTATAGACATTCAACAAAAACATTGTTTAATGTGCAGTTTAAGCAAAACTTAATTTTAGCGCAAATTCAAAAATATGACAACAAATAAAACAAAACTTCAAATTGCTTTATCAACTAAATAAGCCCAGACATAATCAGTTCCAGTGTGATCTATGGTTTCTCTTTAGTATTTTGGCAGCTAATGTGGGTTGTTTTTAGGTTTTCCAAGTTCTTGTGTCTCAGGCAAAATTTATGCTAAAAAAAAAAGAAAGACAAGCATTTCTGATAAGTAAACCCCGCTGCGAATTGCTAATGAGCCTCAGTGGAATTTGTGTTTGACTGATTTATGGTCGAGTCCTTTGTGTAATACTCAAACAATAAATAGAAACTTATCTGCAAGAACCTTTTAGGGAACATTAGCTCTGCTTGCAGATAGTCCCATTAATTTGTCGTTAAAAAACTCGCAATTCATTTACAATTAAGTACTAACAGATATCGCTTGCAAGGCAATTAAAGATGGCAAGCGAAAATAATAAGAAATTCTATAAAAATTCGTTTAGATCAGCTGTTAAAGTATCTTAGAGGAAGTCATTAAATTATCAAGTTTAAGTTTACGCAGTAAGGTACAGAAAAACAAAAATCTAATCAGAAGGCGCTTGGCATAATTCTAAATTATATTTTTTTGTTAAATAACTGAAGTACAGATTAAAATGTTGCTGCAGATAAACAACATGCGAATCGCAAACAACGAGGCAGCAGACCAACAGACACCGACACCTAAATAACAACAACAACAGCAGCAGCAGCAACAACAACAACAGGCACGTAATGTATCTTGTTTTCCAGTGAAACCCAACCACACACACACACACATTCGCACACACATTTGTGCATATATATGTACACCCATATATCTACGACTTTTTGTTGTGATTCACAAATCAAATAATATAAAATAATAATAAAAGTAAAAAAAAATGTTCAGTGACTTGGGCGCTGCGCGAAAAATATTTGTGCCAGCCATAAGATACAAAAGTATCTCTCTCACTCCCCCCTCCAAATCCCTACCTCTCGAACGATCTCTCTCTCTCTCTCACACACACACACACACCCTCTCTTTTTCTATACACGTTCGTATATACTATGTAACTGTAAAATCCACTTGAAGCGCCAGCGCACGATCAGCGCATTGAGAAGAGCGCGCTCGAAGCAGCGCACACACAGAGAGTTAGATTTGAGCGTGTGCAAGAGAGTATGGCAAGCGAAGAGCGCAAATTGTGCTGTTTGTTGTTTTTGCGTTTCGATTTGCTTATTAGGGGCGGTGTTGGGCCCGGCCCGGTTCGGTTCGGCCCGGCAGCTATGCGGGTTCAAATGCGGCCAGCATGACGAATTATTACACACACACACAGTTGCAGCTACAAAATGAAATTTTATTTACAAATATACACATGCACACACGCTTGCAATGCACATTTTCAATGATTCGCGTTTACATGTTTTCATATACACAATTTGTACATGTGTGTGCGTGTGTGTGTGTGTGTGTTTCGGTGTGTACATTAAATATTAAAAGATCTCTGGGGCGGCTGGCGTCTTGCCCGAGCTATCAAAGCTCATTGATCTGGGGTAACGACGACGCTCGGTTGTGCGCAGCGCCTGCCTAGGCACAGGCACCATTTGATACTTTCCCGCACCCGGGAGGGGGCCTTTTTATTTTTTTTGTTTTTCTCGTGCGATAATCACGAACAGGCGACCGGTTTCAGCCTGTAAGCCTGGCCAACAATTCGATATACATATGAGTTTTTAGCTTTGTTCAAATACATCAGAAATTTGTAGCCAAAGCTCTTAATATGTAAGTAAGTATGTACATGCATATACACATACATACATGTGCACGTATATATGTACACATGTATGTATTGAGGCTCTGCCTCTCTATATGTATTACACAAGCATTTGTGAAAACGTCGTCGCCATCGTCATCATCGCTGTATCTGTGCCTGGCTTTAAACCGGATCTTTGGTTTGAAAGTACATTCACTTTATGCCACTGCTACTGCTGCTGCTGCCGCTGCTGCTGCTGCTGCTACTGCTAACGCTGACGCTGACGCTGACGCTGACGTCGCTGCAGCCGGGCCCAGGCAAACAGCCTTCAAATGACAAAAGCTAGCTAACTCAGTTTGGCTTGGCTAACTGGCTGGCCTGGCCAGCTAGACGTCGGCTGCACATGCGCATAGTTCAAATAACTTGGTCAAGTTGACAAGATCAGCAGCCGCAGCAGCAGCAGCAGCAGCAGCCGCAGCGCAAAGTGTTGCCAAGCGGCAGCGCCGAAGCCGGCCACAGCCTAGAGCTGCAGAGCGCGCTAGAGCATGAGGGGGGAAAAACCAAATCAAATACCAAAAAAAAAAAAATTAAGAGCCTATAATAAAAAAACAGGTTAACAAATGTTGCCGCAACAGCCGCAGCCGCAGTCGCAGCAACGTCAACGTCGGAAGAAACTTGTTTTTGTTTTTTCCTATAAGTCTTGGCTTGACGTCAAAGCCGGCTTACGACAACGGCGACGAGCGACGCCTGCTTACATTCACTTTACAAAGACCAAAGAGCGTGAAAGTTAAGCTAAGAGAGCCCGCAAGGCAAGCCGGCAACCGGCATTGTTAACGTCAGCCAATGTGCGCGAGCGGCAGAGGGAGCGACCGAATATACGTTAAGTCATTCACATGCGCTCTTTGCTTCGATTGTGTATGCCTTTGTGTGAGTGTATGTGTGAGAGAGAGCGAATCTACGACGACGTCGACAATGACTGCGGCTGCGGCTGCTGCCTGCCAGTTCGTTCGCATTCACAAGAATTTCACCGACATTTAGTTTAGTACCGTTTTTGGCTGCAGTCGCACTACGGACAATATTCTAATTGTGCTAACCAATTATATATACAAGATATATGCATATATATATACATATGTACATATATACGTACCATATACAATTCAATTACGAAAGCGGCAACAGTTAATGATATTAACTACACATTTTAAATGTTATTATACATGCCCAACGCCAGCCATATGGAAATGGAAATGTGCTGCTGTACCCTACACAAAAATCAAAAGCATTAAATCTATACAAAAAAAAAAAAAAATAATAAAAAATAAAAGAAAATCGCAATTAAAAACAAAATTATAATTAATAACAATTTTTTACGAAAACCTAGTGAATATCGAATGTGTTGGATAAAATCGTTAAATATATAATTACAACAACAAAAAATTCCCCCAACGAACGCGTGCAACAAGTTTAATCCAGCTACAAGTTGTAAACCAAGTTAGAACTATACACATACATATACATATGTTCGTACACACATACACACACACACACACAAGCACTCGCTCGCGCTGCGATACACACAAACACACACACGCACACACGCGCGACTTTAACAATGTCAAGTGAAAACATTCTTTGGAAGCAACAGGTTTCGCCCTAATAAGTGTTATAGAGAAGCGCGTCCAGAACTGTTGTCGACTAGCTTTAGCCAGAAGGAAAGGAATTTATATACATATATATACACAATATATATTTGATAGAGAAGAAATTGAGGAAAACTAAGAAAAGCGTGTGACTGCAACCAGTTGGAACGAAGTCGAACACCGCAAAAATCAACTGAAAATATTAAATTAAAAAAAAAAAAAACAAAACCTTAAAAGTTCTTAGAGCGCGAAAAAAAACATAAATAAATAAGCAAACAATAGCAAACCTCAGCATGGACTCGTTTTACGATGGCGACCTCAAAGATATATGGGACTCCGATCTAGATCCGGTAAGCGAACCTCTAGAGTTCAATTTATGATATCAAGCCGCAAAATGCTTTATCAGTTTATCAGTTGCCGTGTTAATTACGCTCATGACGTTCAACTTGAGCCGATAAGAAAACGATCTTAAATAATGGAAAAGCCCCCAGATACATGCATATGTATGTTATATAGAGATACGTCTATTTCTAGCCAGGTCATTAAAACGTAAACCCTTGACATTAGCTGTACAATGGGCCAAGTGTTGCATATACTTAATATTAAGTCAGGCTCGGTAGAAAATGAAATTGCATTTGAAAAACGAATTTCAAAAATATAAATATATATATATATATAACTGACCCACATTAAGCTTACACAGAGCTTATCAGGCCGGGCAAATGAACCAAATGTATTTAAATAAAGGGGCTTAGATTATGATTATGTAGAGAAAGACCATCTCGATGTGGCTTGAATTGGGTGAAATTGTTGTACAACCTGCATTTTCCCTTTCCGATTCAGGCTGATCTCGCTCGAAAGGCCCCCAATACAAAAAAATAAATGAAAAAAGCAAAAATAGAAATAAAAACCTGTCCTATAAAACAACCTCATAAAACTGTCTGTCCAAGAGTCTCGACTTGAGTCTTGACTCTTGCCAGTCACCAAAAGCCAAATCTAATCGACACCGTTGCCCGAGAGCTACCAGGGAGAGGGGGGAGGGGTACCCTAACTACATACATATATGATATACGACAGCACACACCCTGTTATTTCGATTCGATTCGATCCGATTTCCCACTTATGTAGCAGAACGTGCCGGGGCGTAGCTACATAACTAAAAACAACTTTTGCAAAAAAAAAAATCAAATATATCAAAAACAGATATGATATGAAAGGCAAGGCTACAAGTTACCCTTCTTCTTCTTCTTCTTGTTGTTCTTCTTCTTGTTTAGTTTTTATCTCTGTCAACTCGGTTACGTTGAGTCTTGTTTTAGCCTCTTACCTTAGTGAGACAAATCATTTTTTTTTTTAGTGATTTCTTGTGTTCGAAAAATATCATTTACATGGCCGCAGATAAGGGCGAGCACTATTTCTGGTATTACGAAAGCTCTTCTTCTTCTTTTTCTTTTTGTACCTCCAAAGTGTTCTGATAATGATAATTGAAGTTTTTCCAAGAAATTGAAAAGAAACTGTAGAAATTTATCATTTAGCGAGCAAAAATGTTTTTTTTCTCCTGTTCTTGTTGTTGCTCTCCTTTTTTTTAAGCAATATCGTGAAATGAGTGTGTGTGTGTGTGTGTGCGTGCGTGTGCTGCGTTGAGCCTCATTTGTGAGGAGGCCCTGCTTATCGCTGCGGAAACAGTAATGAATACATGTCGCCGTCGAGGAAGCGTCTCTGCCGCTGCCGCTGCCGCCGCTGCTGCTGCTGCCGGCGTAACATTTATGAGTACTACAGCAGATTCTAAATACAAAAGAAAGAAAGAATCTATTATGGCGCACACACACACACACTTGAGAGCTGACTGGTGCAGAGGGGCGTGCGGGACGTGCAGAGTGATAAGACGAGCTGCGCTATCAGCTGCGCTAAATGCAAAGTTACTAATGACTTTTTTGTTGTTATTAGTATTAGTATTAGTATTGGTATTGTTGTTGTAGCTGCTGCACTTTAAACTGACAAAAGCTCGGGCCGTCAGTGTCATTACTGGGCGAGATAATGCCGCAAAGAGCGCGACGCCAGACCAAAATAGGCTCATGCGAAAAACAAAAAAAAACTACATGCATATGTATGTATGTATGTGTTTATGAACAAAATAACAAAAACAAAAGCAAATTCTTAGGCAGCAGCAAAAACAACAAAATTCCCGGGAACAAAATGCGCGTGCAGTTTTTTCCCGCCGTAGTAGAACCGGGGCGTGCGCCCTCGATTACGTCAGAATCTGTTTCGGCTTGCATTACGTACGTGCATGTGTGCGTGTGTGCGTGTGTGTGTGTTTGTGGTGTGACCATAACTCTAAACACAATAAATATTTATTTCAATGCACCATTTGATTTGCAGAGTTGTTCGTTTTTGGCTCATTTTTGGCATTATTTTGGAAAATTGAAATTATCATTGCCTCAAGTTGACGTCTTGCTGTGGCATATCAAAAATCTTATCACAGACCATTTTGTAACCGAAGAAGCAAAAAAAAAAAACAAAAGAGGGCCAAAAGCCAGATAAGAGCTGAAATAGTTTTGATTAGGCGCGCGTTCACTTCTGCATAAACAAAAATCTCTTCTCTCTCTCTCTCTCTCTATATATATATATATAGTATAGTTATTGGGCTTTTCCACGGAGTAAATGCTAAAGGAATAACATTTATAGATAATCCATTTCGTTGGAATTACCTTGCAATAAAAGTGAAATTCAAATATTTACCAACTGAAAAAATCCCAGATCTTGTGTTTTCCTCTTTTTTTTTACACATCGCAATCTCTTAATTGGCCGACAAAAAAACAAAACAAAACAACAACAAAAAATCCCCCTTTAAGTTGAATGGTCGGGGGGCTGGGGTAAACATTTGTGTCTCAAGTGTCCGCTTATCAGGGCTGTCAGTAACTCATCACATTATTTATTGATTACTTCGAGTATTATTGAATCATTTTAGATATTTTTGGAAATAATTAGCATGAAAAACTGGGCGAAAATACGATCTTAAAAAACAGAAAAACTATATTTTACAATTCATTTTTGCAGTAAATCATGAAAATTGATATACTATATCATCTCAACCGAAATTCGTAGTCTAAAAAACGTTCAACTAGTTTTATCTTTTGTGATAAGTTAAATGTATCTCAGATACATGTATTCCCTCGCACACTTTGCGTTCATATTGGATTCCGTTGAAATCTCCGATGTCATTGGCTATAATTCATTATTAGTGGTCCACTGTTCTATTGATAAGGACTTAGACATATTGCTGCTGGAAGCTAAAATTCTATTTTAACATTTTTGTTCGAAGATAAGGAGCACATGTTGCTTGGAAACAAAACGTCATGCTAGACAGCATTCGAATTAATCTTATATGCATGTGTACATACATTGTACTTAAAGACTGAAATTTATATGATTATAATACTTATATATATTATATACCATAAAAGGGGTTATTCACTCGTAGCGCAAATCTTCAGGAATGTGAATGAACATACATATTCACAGGAAGCTTGACATATGAACGGAATTGTTTCCTAAAAACTATTTGCAGTTATTTTTTGGCATTCAATTAACCAAGTCAAGACCTGGTCTAAAATTTCTTCCTCTTTCTTTTGGCATGCAGAAATGAAAACCAAAAAAAAAATTACTACCTTGGCTCGACGAAAGCTGAAAAAAAGCCAATCGCCTTCACAAAAGAATGCTGACCAAAAAAAAAGAAAGAAAGAAAGAAATAAGTTGAAGCAGACCAAAACTCGTAGAGTTTTCATAAACGTTGAGCGGGGCAAATTTGTAAGACCAAAAGTCAAGTCGAGAAGAAAATTGCAGCATTAACAAACAAGTTCAAGTTAATAAGTCAGCAAGTTTATTCGACTTGACGGCTGCTACCATTGAGGGGCCAACAGAAGCATAAAAAACTTAACCACAGCTTACCTTTGCATACACATATGCATGTGTGCGTGTGTATGTGTGTGTGTGTATTTAACATTTCAAGCGTTTTACATTTTGATACAACTTTCGCTTATATAAGCAAAAGATGGCAACAAATATTGCTAGCATAGAGTATAGAGCGTACATAATAATATTAACCAATTGGCCAAAGACAATTTGACACCCTTTACGGTAAAATAAAAACAACAACAGCGAACAAAGAACAGTTAACAAATGCATGCAAATGTCGCTCTGCATGTATGTATATGTATGTGTGCGAGTTGTTTGTGTGTGTGTGTTTGAGGTTATGTTGAGTTTCTAACGGCTTAGTGCAGCGCGCCGCTATTTTAAATGCACACGAGAACCCACAAAACTGAAAAACGTGCTTGGCAACAGTGTTGTCTCAAGAGACGGTTGCTCAGCATATTTGAATAACTAGTTCGAGCTATGTGTGCACGATACTTTCAATATGGCATAAACTCAAACAATGTGTGAGTGAGTGTGTTTGTGTGTGTGTGTATTGCTTAACTTTGACATTTCCAATGAGCGTAGCTAGCGTTGCAATCTGCAAAAACAGGTTAAAAATCCAAAGCGAATGCCAAAAACAAAAAAAACAAAAAAAGAAACAAAATCATGCAGCAATGGCAACACTGCAAATTTTGTGGTTTGTTAGCGGCACATTTCTATGAAAAAAGTTCAAACATATGGCAAAAGCGCGCATAATTAAATTTGTGCAAACCACACACATATGTATATGTATGTGTATATATACATGCACATTTATAGTATCATCGTATTACAGTTAGAAAGAAAAAGAGAGATGTTAAGAAAGAGAGCGAGACACCCCCCACATCATTCATTGAGTCAACTTTCGCGTCCATTCATGCGAATTTTACACGCGCTGCGCAGTGCAGGATGCGCATTGCACAATTTCTTGTTGTTGTTGCCCGCTTTATTTTTGCTCTCTTTTCAGCGCGAGTGCAAAGAGCAACAGTCTGCTCTTAAGTCCAACATAGTCTCGATTGTATGTGGGCGGCCGGCTGGCGACCAGCTGTTTAGTTTACTCTTGACGTCAATGTCAGGCCCAAGCAGGCAGCCAGCAGCCGCCAGGCAGGAGTTGAAGGCTCTGTGTGAATTATTCATAGATTGAATTTACAATACGAGCACATGGTCCAACCACGAGGGGGGTGGGGTGAGCTCTGCCTTGCTGTAGCGTGGGCGGACCATATTGTTTTGTCTCCAATGTGCGTTAATGAAGTGTTATACGATAAGTGTAACACAGCAAGCGATGGCAACAAGTTGTGCAACAGTTAAGTCTTATTAAAGGGTGAATGGTATGTAATGCAAAATTAAAGGTTGATTAGCTATAAGGTCGCGTTGAGCACGGGACTTCTGTTTTACTCCCTGCCTTGGGGTTTGTTCATAAAGCTAGCTTCTCACGTTCCTGGACTTTGCTTTTAGTTCTAATAATTATTGATATTTTGATGAAAGATTTTAATTTTTAATTTGCAATTGCTCTTTACACTGAAAATATTAAGTCTTACATATTTTCATATATAAGTCGTGGGTTAAATTTAAGCTCTACTCAAAATGTGCTCTGCAAATATGCGATCAATTAAGAAAGTCAGCTTATCGCGCCACAACCCCGCACACTTCAAGTCCGGCATAGGCATTATCACTTAAATGAGTCAGACATCTGGAAAGCGAATCAATAATGAAGACAGACCCTAAGTGATTCATCCATGCAGTATGCTAACAAAGCTCACTTGATCAATTGATTTTGGCCAAAATCGTTTGTTGATCTACATAATTGTTGCTTCCGTCTCATTGGCACTCTTTATTTTATTCATTTATTTATTGCTTTAGTCTGTGAATTGCGTCAAAGTCAACCACTTTGGGAGCTGAGCGTATAGAGCAATCGCAATGCGAGCAATGCCAATGCGATTAGGACACAAGCCACAGCACCACCAATTGGAAGCCATGGCTACTGGAGTCTTCACGCGTGGGTTGTGCGCCCGTTCGCAACTTTCACAACATTTCCGTTTTGCAAATAGTTTGTCAGACTTGGGGGAATCGGTTAACTGGCGGGTGGGTTTTACGTCAGGGCGCCTGGCTGCTTGCGTACATTTCTCTTTTGGCACACACATTCGCAATTATATATGTTTATTGGTGATAAGGTTAAGCCCGCATAGGACGCACGCCCCCGCCATATCGCTATGCTGTGTGTGTGTGTGTGTGTGTGTGTGTCGATGCTAATAATAAACCCATTTGGGTATATTTATAACTGAAATACGCCAAAAACACGTCACTCGGCTGCAGTTCTGTGTTGCCAATTGGGCTTGGGTCGCATTAGGGTTGCCACACGGCGTATACGTAATGTCAACGTGCGTCAACAAGGTCAATTAGTCGCCTGATCGAAAAATAATCGAAACATCAATATATCGATTATAATATGAGCATGCCCGATTTTGGGGCATCGATCATTTGGCGTTAATTAACACATATCTCAAATTAAGTAAAACAACAACAAAAAGCATACAAAATTAGTAAATTAAATATTCAAATTAACTTTTCTGCTTATAATTTTCAAATTTGTATTTATCGATTTGTAAAATGCATTTACAACAGTATTTGAAAGGCAGCTTATCGCGAGGGCTGCCTTTTAGTATTCTTCTGTTCGTCCACTTTCTTTTCAGTCCACTTTACATTTACCAATTACCATTTACCACGCTTTTCGACTGCCAGGCAAAAGTCGAAAAAAAAAACGCAAGAAACCAAAGCGCAAGCCAAAGCGTAGCAATTTTTCAAGTTAAAAAGCATTTTTGAATTGTGGGAGCACCTTTCACTTTGCAGCGATGATGATCATGATGAAGAAGAAGAAGCAGAAAGACAGTCAGACACACAGTCAGACAGACGGACGAACGGACAGACAAGCATAAAATTGAAAAGAAATAAAGAGCAACTAAAAATGCTGTGCACAACACAAAGAAAACCGATACATATGCACGTTGAGTGTGTTTTGTGCCCACAAACATAAGTACACATGTATGTACACACACACACACACACACACATACATACGGATACACGCACGCACACAATTGCATTTTTATAAATGTGAAAGGTTTTCGCTTGCTGCAACATTATTTAATCAATCCAATTTGTGGAGCAAGCGAAAAAGCCAAATCGAAATATGTATAGACAATACAAAAAAATAAAGAGAGAGAGAGAGAAAAAAAAACTATAACCAGTTTAATTATTTTATGAAATTGTATTTTTGGTTTTTGTTGGTAGCTTTGCTTTTTGTCTTTTACACCCTTTTTCTTGCCTTTGCCTGGAACAAAAAAAAAAATTTAAATAAAATTGTATAATGGAACGAAGGCGATATGCTAATGTCGAACAGATACCAGTCTGTATGGTATGTTGAATAGATACCCTCGGGCTCATTTGGTCTTATGTGAATTTATTTTTTGAATAGTTTACGAAACGAACTCCAACCGAAGAAAATGTGGAAAAGTTCTCATAAAACTTATGCGAGTCACACGTGTGACCAGCTCAACAGGTGCTCATTTGCATCGATAACGGTCTGTCATCGATAGCCCAGCGAACAATCGAAATCAGGCATGGCGATGATCATTAGGTGCTTAAGCACTTTTTGCGGCTTAAGGGTCCGCACCACTTGTCTTGGCACTCGCCCTCGGCTTTCATTGAACGTGAAGACAAAAAACACCTGAAACCTGCAGCAACGAACGCTCAGAGATGCTCCACATCTTTGATTTGTCTGTAACTTGGCCCCCAGCGCCGCCATGCCAAGATCCACAGCTGAGAGAAGGGGGGCGGGCATCTGAAGCAGCGAGAAATGCCTGTGAGCATTTTTTTGCTGTCTCTTGGCTTTCTTTCAAGCTTCACACAATATCTCTCTGTATACTGATGTGATTATGTGTGTGTGTGTGCTTATGTTGCCCGTTTTGGTAACATTTTTCAAGAATTGCTAATTCTCAACAATTCCAAGGTTCGTTGAACTCATCATAAACATACACACACACACACGCCACAGGCACGCACACACACACTTGTACAATTTATTTACGCTTCTCTGCCGCCGCTGCTACTTTGCTGATTCTTGGCCGCTGCGAAGAGACGGCTAAAATATGGAGAAAGCACTTGTGCAGGGATATACAAACATACGTATGTACATGCTATCGAGGGTGGATCATAACATGGAGCTTGCAAAAATTAACATGGACCTTTTTTTTTATCATTTGCATATGTGTGTATGCACGAAAGTGCAATTAGTATAAGCTGGATTATCGATGCGAGGCTCATCACATTTGCATTAAGTTATCGATGCACGACTCATCACAATTACATTAAGCTATCGGTGCAAGGCTCATCACAAATACGATGCAAGTGTCATCGTAATTGCGCGTCACGTATGTACGTCTACGACATTTACGACTTCTTTTAAATCCACCCTCGCGCATACCAGCGAGTGCTTTTACATGCATACATATGTATGCGCATACGTACGTACGTACAAAAGGCATATACAATGCACGCGTGCAAACGGTAATCAATGTTTAAGTTTATATGCCGAGTACGAATAAGTGGTAAGCTTGAAAGAAGACCCACACAGAAGCAGCCGGGAGACGGGGACAGACAGACAAGGCAGAGCGAGTGGAAGAGAGAGAGAGGGAGATTCATACCTACGGCGGCACGCAAGCAAGCCGGCTGTCACACAGACACACGCACATAGTTACTCACACTTAAGGCCATGCCCGCGACAACGACGACGTTCCCTTTTCTTATGGCCAAAACTGGATTTCCCATTTGAGTGTGGCTTAGAATGTGAGCATTTTTGAGGCAAAAAGATATATATTTTACATACTAATGGGCTTTTAAAGCCAAGCGTAATTACATGCACTTTTTATCATTCCACATATGTATGTACGTAGATACATACATACATATACAATGTATGCAGACACACACACACAGTTACTACATACATGCAGAAAGTGTCGCATTTATATGGGTCAACAATTTATAGCCGTAGATTTGCTTACAGCAATTAAGTAAATTCAAGCCGTCTTATTTTTTTGTCATACTACATACATATATTTTGTCAAAAACTGGCACATTCAGATTACATCATCAGGCTAATTTCGCATTCTGGATATTTCGAGTAGAAGCACAGCAGCAAAAGAAAACTCGTTCCTGTCAAGCGGCAAACGACAGTCAAACACTTGTTGCAAATCGCATTTGTGCTCATCACAAGCTCTCATCATGCACATGGTTGTTTTTCAAGGTTGTTGGCGACTAATCACGCTCGCGACACCACAAAATGCGATCCATTTAAATTTGATTTATTAATCTGTTACACATTTTTCAATTAATTTTTTTTTGCAAGCCCTGCAAAATAAGCGATGCGTTGCGATTGCTGCCCGGCCTCGTGACAGTGTTATCGATTGTCGCATGTGAAAGGACATGTAATCGATGCGAGGGAAAATTATCGCATTGGCAGGCAGTAGGGCGGACATTTTGAAATAATTTTAACCGTTGGCATAAATTCAAATACAAATCATTTCAATTGCTGTTTCCACTTCAGTTATTATGAAATGATAACTTTAAATTGCTTTTATTTTTATTTTGTTTGAATCAATGAGAATTTCAAGGGTACGATAGTGTTGCTGTCGTCTTTGATAAGATTGACAAACAAAAAAAAATATATATATATATATATATATATATATATATATATATATATATACATATATACGTAAAGTACTACATAGCTCGCAGCGCATGCAAGGCTGCCCATCTTTCTATATATATATATTTTAAAATGTTGTATTTTTCATATACGTATGTATAGACCCAAAGCTTGTTGTTGTTTTGGGCTATCTGCATGGGTCGTGTATCTGTATCGCTGCGTTTTTGGTTTTACGTGTGCCGTTTCGTGCGATTCGCTTTTTAAATTATTTCTAGTGTTTTTTATTTTTAATTTTTTTTTCTTGTTTGCGCAAAAATATATATTTTCTACTTTTGTTTCTAAGTTATATAAGCGTGCGCTATCGCTATGCAGCACGACTGCGACTGCGACTCCATGCCGTGTCTACATTTACTAATTACCTTTGCTATTGTTTTTTGCTGATATTTTTACAGACGGAATCCTTGAAAATTAGCAGTGATCATGATATGCACGATTGGTTTTACGATCGTGATGTCAAGGATCCGACTGTCATACTTAACGACAAGCTCATCTCCGACGCGCTGCTCAATGGCACGGGCCCAATCAAAACGGAGCATTCCTATAGTCTCAACAGCGATGGTGACTCCCTGCCCGATTCACCAAAAAGCCTGCAGGCCAAGATCGATGGTAGGTATTGCAATTGCATTCAGTGATATCGATTAATTGCTATCGATTACTTTTTTTTTTTTTTGGATAACGGTACGTTAACTGTTCTGTTCTGTTGAGTTTACGCTTTGGTTGTCTGGTTAAAGCCAAGACAAATACAGTTGCCAGTTGGTGGCTCCATTGTGAATTTAGGCCATGTACATAGTGAACGACAACATGAAAAACAGTTGAACAGCTTCTGTTTTTTGTTTTTTTTTTTTATTTTAATGTCGCGGTAGCATTTAGCAATTTAACGCAGTACTCGTGCATGAAGTTTTGTACTTTGACGCGATATCAGTTATTGTTATTGTTTTTGTTGTTGTTGTTGTTGTTGTTGGTAATATTCCCGTATATATATATGTATATGGACGTATATGGTATATAATTGCCGCTGGCCTGTTTTTTATTATTTGTAATTTTATGGAAACTGTACAACAACTGTGTAAATAAAATTAAAATGTATCACAAAAAAGACCATTCAGGGCGGGCGAGCGACAAGAACGTGGCTGAAAAAACAAAAAACACAAAAAATATAACATACCTATCAAATGCAAACACAAGTGCCATGCCACAAGCATCTGGTGACGCGCGCGCCTGTGGCAAGTGATCCAATGTTTGGCCCTGTTTGTACAGTTACAGAAAAGAACATCAAATTGTTGTATAATAAGTATTTGCTAAATACCACTCAGTCCTAGGCCATAGAAAGAAACATTCAACAAAAGTAGGTTGCCCAGCACAATATTTGCGCGCACACATTATTCGATATTATTTGAATTCAGTTTTGTGAGCAAAAGACGTAAGCACTAAGTACGTAATACGGATACGTTGCGGTTGTCAATAACGGTAAACAAAACGTTCCACTATTCGCATCCAATTAGTTGGCTCCAATCAGAGGTGTGCATTCATATTGGGGAATAGGTCAAATTCGCAGAAGCGCCAATTTGAAATTTATGAATACATTTGAAATATAAGTTGCAATGTTGCCCAAGTTACAATGTTTCGACTGTTCGCCCTTGCAGATATGGATGACGAGTGCTACTCCGGAAGTGGGCGCATCACCATCGATCCAAAATGCCTGACACTACACCCGCCCGCAAGAAACAGCCGCAGCACCGCCATGCTGAGCAGCATGAGCAGCGCCAGCGCCAGTTCCGCATTGAGCACAGCCATTACGGAGTTGGCGGCCGCATCCACAGCGCTCGCACGCAGCAATGCCGAGGTGCAGCAGCACAGCAGCGGCAGCAGCAGTGGTAACGGCAGCATGAACGTTTCACTGGAACATTTTCAACTACCTCAACACTTGGCGGAAATGTACGACGACAACGATTGCAGCTCATCGGTGTCATCGGCCCGCGAGGGCAGCATATCGCCGGATATATGCTCAGACATTGAGATCGAAGAGGCGATCATTAAGGATGAGCCGATGTCGCCAGATTCCAGCTGCCCCGCCAGTCCAAACTCACAGAACAGCAGCGCCCAGCAGCTGAGCCTTAATCTGGCCAATTTGCAGCCAGAATTGCTCTTTGACCAAAAGGTAACACGCAGTCCCGTCTAAACCCCTTATCCAGATCTATGCTAAACAGTTTTTTTTCTATGTGGAACAGCACGGTGGCCTTCTGCTTGCCACCAGCAGCAACAGCCTCATCAAATCCCAGCAGCAACAGCTCTTGCTTGGCCAGGGCAGCCAAAGCCTAATTCTGCCCAAAATGGCCATAAAGAGCGAGAAAGAAAGCAACGCCAGCAACAGCACGGGCAAGTCACATGCCTATGGCATTCCGCTGACACCGCCTTCCTCTCTGCCCAGCGATGACTCGGAAGGTAATTTGTCACCGGAACATTTGTATGCGCCACTGTCGCCCAATGCTTCCGTTTCCATATCCGCCGTGACTAATGCAGCCGCCAATGGTGAAACCGCAAACAATGGGAGCACGCGACGGGCTGCTGCCGCCATAACCCGCGCCGCCAGTAGCAATGGTGCCTCCAACACGGCCGCACCATCGACGCGGCAGCCCATACACACACCGTTAATCAGCTCACAGCCGGTACTTATATCTAGATCTAAATAATATATGTTGTCACTGGAAACTCATTTGGATTAATCGCACTTGCAGAAAGGCTCAACGGGCACTCTGCTATTGACAGAGGAAGAGAAACGCACGCTGCTCGCTGAGGGCTATCCGATACCACAGAAGCTGCCACTCACCAAAGCCGAAGAGAAATCGCTCAAGAAGATACGACGCAAAATTAAAAATAAGGTATGTGGGAGCTTAGCTCAGTAAAAAGGTCTGGAGCATTTATTGACCAATGTCTGACTCAATTTTTCAGATCTCTGCTCAGGAAAGTCGTCGTAAAAAGAAAGAGTACATGGATCAGCTGGAACGGCGAGTGGAAATTTTGGTTACTGAGAATCATGATTACAAGAAACGCCTCGAGTCACTGGAGGAGACCAATGCCAATCTACTTAGTCAGCTGCACAAATTGCAGGCCCTAGTTAGCAAGCACAATGTGAAAAAGTCCTAAACCTGATACCAAGGCCCAAAGCTGGCCACGGTTCATGTTTGCCTGCCTGCCCGAGAGATATTTTATTTTATTTTATTATTATTATTTTATTTCGTTGTATCGAAAACAGAACGAGTTTCGAGTGAAAGAGTTTGTTTGTTTAAGAATTTATCGGTTTAGAAAGAACATTTTTATTTTGGCTTTTTGGTTAGCACAAAGCGGTAAACATTCCCCCAAAATAACCCTGCCAGCATCTCTTAAGATTTAGCAGCCCATAACTGAAACCATATACAAATATATATGCACTGTATCGTTAATGTATAATTAGCTATTTATAGTTTGTATCTTATATTATTAGTCATGCATTCCTGTTATATAACCTGATATAAAGAGTAGACATAATGATCAGCAACCAACAAGCTCAAATGAAACCCACATAATCAGCGTCTAAAGAGAAGCTACATTATAATATTGTTAACAACAACAAACACCAAAAACGCATATGGCATGCTCAGATGTGGGCTCTAAGAAAACAACGATTCGATTTGATTTAAGAGCAACGACATGTACATTATGTTTTAATAATGCTTGATTGTACAAACTACATTCAGAGCTGTTTTTCCGCATGCGGAACGGTTTTTTGAATTTTGTTTGTCAAGACTCTTGTTCCTTTATACGATAAATTTCTCTCAAAAGAAAAAAAAAAATCAAAAACATAGCAAATGCAAAAAATGATGAGTAAAAATCGACAACAATTCCATATATTAACTATGTATGAATTATGCTTATGTAGCGCATACTTCTCATACATATTGACGAACTATGTTTTTACGCAGCATTTAAGTTTTTTTTTTGTTTACCAGCCGCAACTGGAATCGTCAATTGAATTTTGAAGCTAATTAGTTGAAATGATGCCTCGAAATTTACATTGGTATGTTGCCTGGACAAATTAAGCAATTTCCGAGCCAATTATAAAAAAAAAAAGAAAAAGAAAATATTGTTTGTTAAGTTTTATAATTTAAGTGAAGCGCTGAAGCAAATAGAAAGCAAATAGCATTACAATGGCAACAACTACAATAACATTTACTTTGCAGCAAAGATTTTGTTTAATTATTTTAACAATTGAATTTAATGTTATAGTGCAATTATTTGGCATAACTATTCTTGTTTTCCACAATCTATTTTACTAATATATAATATTTGTATGTTTTGTCATGTATGAGTCATTTTAGTTTATATTAGTTGAATTTACCATACACAAAATTTACTTAAACCAACCTTTAAGCGTAAATTGATTTCTTATCAAATCATATATCTAAATGTATAATTACTGTAGCTATTTTAATGTATATAAATCATGCGGACGAAGTTGTGCAATTGTTAGTAAAATTTTATATACAAATTCTATAGAAAATTACAACAAAATCAAGTTGATACCAATTTCTAAACGACATTTGTGCAATGAAAAATTTTATTCAAATGCGTTAAAAATAAATTGAGAAATACAATATATTTATACAAACATGTTATATATAAATATATATATATATATATATATATATATATATATATACAGTATGTACCATATGACCATGTGTTATATTTTGGCTACAACATTTTTAACGCTTAAAAAAAATTGAGAAAATATTGAGAAAAAAAATTGTAAAACATTTAATTGGTTGCTGTAATTGGGCAAAGTAAAAGTGCAATTCCAAATAAAATTGATACAACCATAACAACAACGAAAACTTGTGGTATTAAAAAGACGGAGTATAAATGAAAAAAATCTTTTAAAAATATCGCCGAACTAAGCTATTGCTATTAAAATGATAGGAAGTTAGCTGGCAGACATTTAAAAGATTGTGAGAAACAGTGTGATTTTGGGCTAGGAGAGAAAGAGAGTGTATCCCCCTCTCGAGTCTATTTATATATGCATGGCTTAATTCAATATCAATCGGAGGCGATTCAAATAACAAACAGGGAAACCTTCAAGGCAAGCCATATTTTTTAGATCATTTCAGTTACGATGACACATTAAAATTCAAATTTCGATAAGACAAAAATATTGTTTCACAACTATCGATATATATTGGCAGACAACATTGCGCTCTGCAACATTTATCCCAGCACAGTGCTTGGCAACATTTAAGCAATGCTGGGTAACGCGAAAAGTACATAAAGAGTAAAACAACTAAAAACAAGTAGACGCAGAACGCAAAAAATATTGTTCTGACATTTAGCCAAGCAAATCCTTGCAGATTAAAAAAAAATAATAATATCAAGAAATGGGAAAGAAGAACAGTAAGTAGTGTCAAACATAAGAATTGTAATTTGTTGGTGCAACCTTAACAATAAAAATGAAATTTTCAGAATTTAAGAAAGACGATAAAGAGGCTGCAGCACCAGCTCCTCAACAACGGCAGCAACAACAAAGTAAGTTTAATAAAAATGTGAAATGCATCCATATACATATATGTATATATATATATATATATATATATATTCTAATGCATATGTATAATTTGCTGGTTTGGTTGGTGTGGCTCTATAGTTGCATGTTTGTGTGTGTGTGTGTGTGTGTGTGTGTGTGTGTGTGTGTATATCAGTGTTTGTGTGTGCATACAGATGAATGCATGTGTGCGAAGTTTCTGGAAGCTCCGTATTTGTGGGGGAATCACCTGATTCACCTGTCTGTTATCTACATGGCTATCTTTTAGCCCAAATCGAGTAAAGCTTTTATACGTGGCGCAAGTTAAATATTTAAGGGGGAAGCACAAATCTCGTATTTTACCATATCGGCTACGTCATGGCTCATGCATTGCTTTAACTATGAAAATCATATATTTATATTTGTACTGCAGCTGCAGCCCCCGCACCGTCAACAAGTGCTGCGGCTAGAGAGAATACGTCCAGGTTGCAGGCTGGCGACGATGGCGTACCTGCAACTCAGCGTCCGCAGCCGCGCTCTGAAAGCCAAAACCCACAAGGAGAGTGGCAGCGTCCACAGGGTGGACAACAACGTGCTCCGCAACAACAACAACAATACAGACCACAACAGCAAGGAGGACAGCAACGACAACCAGGTTGGAAGCAGGGTGAACAACCAAGGAATCAACAGGGAGAATCAGCCGGTCAGCAGGGCGGTTATCAGCAACGTGGCCCATCATCTGGCACACAGGGCGGCAGTCAGCAAGGCGGCTATCAACAACGTGGCCCATCATCTGGTCCACAGGGCGGCGGTCAGCAGGGCGGTTATCAACAACGTGGCCCATCATCTGGCACACAGGGCGGCAGTCAGCAAGGCGGCTATCAACAACGTGGCCCATCATCTGGCACACAGGGCGGCAGTCAGCAAGGCGGCTATCAACAACGTGGCCCATCATCTGGTTCACAGGGCGGCGGTCAGCAGGGTGGTTATCAACAACGGGGCCCATCGTCTGGTCCACAAGGCGATTATCAACAACGTGGCCCATCGTCTGGTCCACAAGGCGATGCACAGGGCGGCAGCCAGCAAGGCGGTTACCAACAACGTGGCCCATCTTCTGGTCCACAGGGCGGCAGTCAGCAAGGCGGCTATCAACAACGTGGCCCACCAGGGCAACAGCAAGGTGGCTATCAGCAGCGCGGCCCACAAGGGCCTCAGCAGGGTGGCTATCAGCAGCGCGGCCCACAAGGGCCTCAGCAGGGTGGCTATCAGCAGCGTGGTCCACCCCCAGGTCAGCAGGGTGGCTATCAGCAGCGTGGTCCACCACCAGCTCAACAGGGTGGTTATCAGCAGCGCGGTCCACCACAAGGTCAGCGAACGCAAGGCGGTGCCTTGGCCCCGCTATTGCCCCAAACAGGAAACATTAAGCGGGGTACCATTGGAAATGCTGGTAGAGTGGGTGTTAATTACTTGGATGTGGACATAAGTAAAATGCCCGACATTGCATATCATTATGATGTGACCATTGTGCCGGAACGCCCGAAGAAATTTTACCGCAAAGCCTTCGAAGTGTTTCGCGCAAAGCATTTAGATAACGGTATTGCTGCCTTCGATGGACGCAAATCCTGTTATTCTGTCGACAAGCTACCCAATGTCACTGGCCAAGTGGAGGTAAGTCACGCCAAAAGCTGTATATATAATCTAAAACTAAATGCTGTTCTTTCTGCAGGTCATTGATCCTCATGGTCGCACCGTTCGCTATACTTTGACCATCAAAGATACAGATAACTCTCAGGTGGAGCTCAGCTCACTTCGCAGGTTGGGCCACGCTAAATGTTAAAAATTGAAAGTAATTTTGATATACTTTGCAGCTATATGAACGACAAGATCTATGACAAGCCAATGCGGGCGCTGCAGTGCCTGGAGGTAGTATTCGCTGTACCCTGTCATATACGATCCATACGAGCCGGTCGGTCCTATTTCAAAACCTCTGACAACGGCGAACGTCGCGATCTGGGAGACGGCTATGAGGCATTGGTTGGTCTTTACCAGAGCTTTGTGCTGGGCGATAGACCATTTGTAAATGTCGATGTATCGCACAAGTCGTTCCCAATTGCAATGTCCATGATTGAGTATTTGGAGCGCTATGGACTGCAGTCGGCCATAACACCAGCTACTACGCTTAACAATACGTGGCGCATAGTACCCTTCATAAAGGGCATTAATGTGGTGTACGAACCGCCGAAATGCTTTGGAAGCACACCTCGCGTATATAAGGTTAACGGCTTGTCAGAAAAACCGGCGAACGAGCAGAAATTTGAATTGGAAGGTGAAGTTAAGACCGTGGATCAATACTTCCGTTCCAGGAATTATACTTTGCGGTTTCCCAAGCTGCAGTGCCTCCACGTTGGGCCACCAACAAAGTATATCTACTTGCCCATTGAGCTGTGCCGCATTGAGGAGGGCCAAGCTCTAAATGTAAGTATGGTATATATATAAATATATATATATGATATATTTATAAGAAAATAAGGAAGACAACCAATCATTTTTGTCTGCCGGAGATTAAACACTCCTGCATCGTTTTTATAAGAGCTTTATTATAAAGTATTTCGTTGAGGATCAAAGCTCGCTTGTATGTTACTGAGCTGAACTCCTCGTCCTGTTTTATTTATGTATATACCGCAGTAATTGTCATTTTTAATTTTCAATACAGCGCAAGGATGGAACAAATCAAGTATCGGAAATGATCAAATTTGCGGCCACATCGACTAATGAACGCAAGGCTAAGATAATGGATTTATTGAGATACTTTGATCACAATAGTGATCCCGTTATTAGCCGATTTGGTATACACGTTGCTGGCGATTTCATCACGGTAAGCACACGGCTACTGCCTGCACCGCAACTGGAGTACAGTAAAAAAAACTTTGCACGACCATTCAACGGATCATGGCGCATGGATAACTTACAATTTTTGGCCGTTAAGCCAAAGTCCCACAGATGGGCTATACTCCATTTCGAAGGCGCACGAATGCATTACAACAAGGTTGCCGAATTACAGGATTTGGTTAGTGTTGGCATCTCAGCAATCTTTAGTTTCTAATGTGAGCGCTTTTTAGGTGATACAACAAGCCAGGTATGTCAACGTATGCCTGGAGCCCAAGGCTGACATACGCTCTTTTAGGGACGAGCGAAATTTAGATGTGCATTTTAAGGATCTTAAAGACCATCAATATGATCTGGTCTTTGTCATCTTACCATCGCGTGGTCCTACCTATGACATTATTAAACAGAAAGCCGAACTGCACTATGGCATATTGACGCAGTGCATCAAGCAAAACAATGTGGAACGTCGTCTGAACGGACAATTAGTTGGCAACATTTTGTTAAAGGTCAATTCCAAGCTGAACGGTGTCAATCATAAGCTCAAGGATGATCCACGCACTATGCTTGCGAACGTCATGTATTTGGGTGCGGATGTGACACATCCTTCACCTGATCAACGTGATATACCCAGTGTAGTGGGCGTGGCTGCATCGCACGACATGCATGGCGGTTCATACAACATGCAATATAGATTGCAATGCGGCGGCGGTGGCGGCGCCCGAGAAGAAATCGAAGACATGGAATCCATTGTAACCGAACATTTGCGTGTCTATCAGCAGTATCAGAAGCGCTATCCGGATCACATTATATATTATCGGGATGGTGTTAGCGATGGGCAGTTTTTGAAAATTCAGAACATCGAGCTAAAGGGTATCTATGTGGCCTGTACCAAGGTAAATTATTGCATTTGTTAAAGTATTCGATTTGATTTATAAATGATTTTATTGATTTACAGCTGGGCATCAAGCCAAAAATGTGCTGTATTATTGTGGTGAAGCGCCATCACACACGCTTCTTTCCAGAGGGAATGCCGTCGAATCCAAGAAATAATAAATTTAACAATGTTGAGCCGGGCACTGTGGTCGATCGCACCATTGTGCATCCGAACGAGATGCAATTCTTTATGGTTAGCCATCAATCTATACAGGGCACCGCTAAGCCCACACGCTACAATGTTATTGAGAACACTGGCAATTTGGATATTGATCTGTTGCAACAATTGACTTACAATTTATGCCACATGTTTCCACGCTGCAATCGTTCCGTTTCGTATCCAGCTCCAGCCTATTTGGCTCACTTGGCTGCAGCACGTGGACGTGTTTATATTAATGGGTAAGCAACAGAATGACAGAAAGTTTTAATAGCATACGAAGACATTAATTTGATTTTTCCGTTTCTCAAATAACAGAGCTCGTTTGACCCGTTCGCCGAAAGAGGAGTATCAGCGCCGGTTGATTGTGCCGGCCTTTTTGAGAAGTAATCCCATGTATTTCGTTTAAAAATTTATTATCACAAACTTATCCTTTATAATACCATGAATACCACTAACCGAAACACGCATCGTTATTATTATTACATTTATTGGATTTTTATTTTATCACATTTTTTAAACTACATATTTATTAAACGATTATTATGCAGATTCCCAGCTGGTTCTACGATACGGCTTTATCTTACTTTAAAGTCTAAACTCTAGATAAAACCAACTGTGAATGCGCTTTAGTTGTTTTTTAACGTAGAAAACAACTTACATTTTGAGAAATTGGGAAATTGTGTTAAACAAATTAAAGAGATAAATACACAACAAAGCATTTGCAATTGGCTGATTAAATATTGTTATGAAACTGCTCACATTGCATCGAAATGGAATCTATGAGACTCTTGCAAACGCTCCTGCCTATCCTCTCGCTTTTCCTTAATATAGAGCACCAAGATGATGAGCACAATCACAAGGCAAGTGCCACCCAGGGCGATCACACTCATTAGGATTAGTTTGCTGGGCGTCACAAAGAGCAGCGCTTTCCAGTGCTGTGGCTGATCGAGCGGCTTGGGCACCACTATGATCTGCGAGTTGGGTATGAGCTGCGTCCAGTTGTGAAACTTGCCGTACAGCCCCACCACCAGCTGATCCACAAAATTTGGCGTGCGACCCAAACCGAAACATGTGTAGGGCAATTGAAGCGCAAAATAAGATGACTGCGGCAGTTGGACACTACTGCCAATTTGCTGATCGCCATCCTGTGTGGTTGTGCTATAGGTAATGATAGGACCAGGCAAATTGCTGCCATACGTGCGCTTCTTGCGCCCCAGGGGAGTGCGCGATGTGGGATTCTGCGGATTCACCAGACCAGTGAGCACAATCACCTTGACGAAATTGGCGTCGTAGTCGAGCGTGTTGCGAAAAGCAAGTGGACGATAATTTCCATTCGGCAGCTTCTCTATGAGTATAACATCTAGGACACCATCCTGATAGAAGTCATAGAATGCGCCAGCGACTGTGTTATTTCCCATCGGAGCCAACGCGTTCCAGCGCACTTCGAAGGTGCGCTTAAATTTCTTGCTGCACGTCTTGCAGGCGACATTCTCCAGGAGGAACGTTTGCATGACCGGCTTTGCCACGCTTAACGGATGCAGTGTGACAAGCAAATCTGGATAGCCATCCAAATTGAAGTCGCCACTGCGTGCAGTAATAGTTTTCAGATATACATCATTCGCATCAGGCGGCACAAATGCCCATGTGACGCCCTGTGGGTCCTTAAAATTGACGTGTACATCATAGAAAAGGCTGCCATCCTGAACAAATATGGTCGAGTTTTTGCAATTTTCCTGTACGCAATATGGCACCACAATATTTTGCACGCCACGCAGCTCGAAGTCCATGAAAACGGCTTGACCCACCACGTAGTCGTTGATGCCCACCAACTCATACGGAATGGTACGCTGATAGCTGAAGTTCTCCTGGCCGTCCCGCTCATTGATGCCATACCAGATCTCGTAGGCGGTCTTGGTTTGCAAAAACAGATCGGCTAGATAATCGCCGTTTAGATCCAAATATGCATTTGCATTGGGTATTGTCAGAGTTTGAATGGTCCCCCCAGTGGGCATCGCCTGGTGCACAACAATCGGTGGATCGCGTTTGTTATTAAAAATCCAGAAGGTACGTGTATCATTTGTGTCCAGTCCATACAAATCGATGATCATGTCATGATTAAAATCGAGCGCCATTGCCTCACCCTTAGTTTGGAAAAGGGGTTTGGCGGAACAATTGAGCGTTGTTGAGTTGCCCCAATTAATGTAAACGTCATTGATATCCTTGCTTCTCTCCACGTTGACCAGCACATCCATCAGAGCATCGCCATCGAAATCGCCAGGTACTACGCTCACAATTCTTCTGGCCCCGAAGTAGCATATAGGACCCATTCGTAGCAACGGTTCCGTATCAGCCCCTGATAATATTTATTAAATACACTGTATAAAACTTCTTCTATAAGCATACACTCACCAAAAAGTATTTGTAGCATTTTCCTGTCATCTTGAATGACGAATATGTCAGTAAGCTCGTCGGAATTAAAGTCACCAAAAGCTGCCACAACACCTTCCTTAATATCACCAAATACAACACTTGTAATATCGCTGGCTTGAATAGCCACCGCGTAGAGCAGCACCAGCAGCAGCCATTGGGTATGCATTTGGCTGTATTTTAGGTACTTTTACACTAACGATTTGCGTCTGCTTTGTTTTCTTGTTATTTTTGTTGTTGCTTCTCTGAAAATCAATATTGAGTCAGATGTAAATTATCGATAACCATTGAGTGCTGCCACTTACGGTGTTGCCAAATCGGTGCGAATGAATCGATACCTAAGGCATCTCTGAGTTTCGACGGTCGAAACAACAACGCAGAGAAAACTTTGCTAATAATTAGTAAATAATAACAAATACAATATATAAACCATGGTGAGTGCGGAATTAAAATGCGAATTTATTTATTTACTTGTGTTTCTAGTGTATTATGCCACAGGCAATTTGTGTGTTTGTTTTGCTAGCTGCTGCTTCTTCCTGGCACACAAGCGCCAGCGCACGCACAAATTGTTGTAGTTGGTGTATTTATGCAATGTGCATTTACATAAAATATATGTGTGTGTGTATTGGTAGTGGCTATCCATTAATTTTGTTTATTTTTGCAGAACAAACTAAAGTCAAGCCAACACCGTGACAAGGTGAAAAAATTTATCTCGCTTACACAAACTGGCGAACAGACAGCCATCTTCTGCCTGCAACAGAATGATTGGAAAATGGACCTGGCCAGCGACAACTATTTTCAGAATCCCGAATACTATTATAGGGAGTTAGATCGCAAAAGGATCGAGCAGTTATTTATGCGCTATCGTGATCCAACTGATGCCCTAAAGATCAGCTCACAGGGCGTAATAAAATTTCTAGAGGACTTGGAACTGAGTCCAGACTCCAAGCTAGTACTCATAATTGCCTGGAAGTTTCACGCCGAAGTGCAATGCGAATTTTCGCGGGATGAGTTCATCAATGGCATGTGCGAATTGGGCACAGACAGTATAGAGAAGCTTAAGTCGAAATTGCCTATGCTGGAACAGGAATTGAATGATGCGGGCAAATTTAAAGATTTCTACCACTTCACTTTTAACTATGCGAAGGATCCAGGCCAGAAGGGCATTGATTTGGACATGGCCATTGCGTATTGGTGCATTGTGCTCAGCGATCGTTTCAAATTCTTGGACATTTGGTGCAAGTTCCTTGAAGAGAAACACAAGCGGGCGATTTCAAGGGACACCTGGAACCTGCTGCTTGATTTTGCCACCAACATCGATGATCGGATGAGCAACTATGACTCAGAGGGTGCTTGGCCCGTGCTTATTGACGATTTTGTTGAATGGTGTCAAGAAAATAACCATCTCGCCACAGATCAGCCGCACCATACGCAGCAATCAACGTCCCAGAAGAACATATCTAGCGCTTACCAGACCTCGCATAGTACAAACATGAATTATGGCTAACGATTGTTGCTTTATATATATATATATTCTCATTAATTATAAAATTTGCTTTTTATTCGGATTATTTTAAATAATGATGATAATAAGCAATGCGAGTTAATTTGCAATTACATTTCGATAAAAAGAAAGTAATAAATAAATTTAGTAAATGTAAACAGTGGCTACTGCTGCGCAAGCAATCATATTCATTTTCCGCTATATCACAGACCGATACGATGGCTACTCGATACACTGAAACCGATATATCGATATACCATTCATTCATTTATCATCCCCAACTTAGTGTATCAAGTGTTACCGTAGCATATAAAAGCCAATTGATATTGTAACAACGATTTTTCGTCGCTCTGGTTGCTTATTAGAATCTACACTTGGTTAATAGTTTAATATTGTTGTGCGTGCGGTGCACGTAAGTGTGCGAATCCGCTCTACTTGCTGCGTATATCATGTAATGTGCAAAATATACAAAGTGCATGTAACGTGTGTAACAATCAATTGTTGCCCCACACTCTCTGTGCGAGTGTGAGTGTGACCAAGAGTGCGTGTCTGTGCGTTTGTGTGCGTGCGCGAACAAGGCAGCCAGTGGGCGGCATATAAGGAGTCTACCTATCATCGCAGACAAACACACCCAGTGTTTTGCAACACAGCAATAAGGATGTATTCGGCAGCTTGTGTCTGAGGTGTGGAGCAGTCGCCGCTGAATGACAAATGTATGTGTCATTGCTATTGGGGCTTCTGGACGCAATTAATTTGATGTTTGTTTTTATTGTGCGTCAAATCCTTTAAATAGAACCCACCCCAAATCAACTGCCCTTGGCGGCTTAAACAACCACTTGGCATAGCGTAAAACAAATTAAATTCTCGTGCAAGCAAAATTTAAACAAATACAACGGAACACACACACACACATATATATATATACAGACACAGTTGGACAACTGTGTGCAAATAAGTGGCAATAAAAATACATAAATAAAATGAAAACAAACCCAACACTTAACTGATAACCGCAGACCAGTCGTCGACGTCGTGACTACGACAACTAGAGCCGCACGATCGTGCGGCGGGTGCTGCACTCTTTTCATATACCCTACATTATTGCCGCCACTTATCCCTCCCCATTTATATACATACATATCTGGCAGGTGTAATACAGTGTGCGTTCGATGAGAAGAACTCGCAGAAATGGGCATTTGTCATATCGCAAATTTTAGCATTGAATCGTCATTTTTAATTTGTTCGAAATTGTTATTTTGAGAACATATTCTCACATTTAAATACCATTCGAAAATCATCAAATTAAAATCATGGTAAAGCGGGTTCAATGAAAAAGCTTTTTTCTTAAAAAAAAAACTTGTCTGTAGTATAATCTGTTTTTGTATTAAAAGAAATGCATATATAATTTAAAGTTTTTGTGTTTTTGCTTCAGACAAGCTCTTGGCCTAGTTTAGCATTGAATACGGGCTCTATTTTTATACAGTTTCCGATCAAAGTCTTGATTATCTTTGGTAAACTAGCTAATCGGCTAAATAATTTGCAACACGATCTTTACCTTGTACTTGTTAATTTCTCAAGTCAATAAAGTTATAAATAGCAGCCGTGCGAAGACTTTGTTAGCATACTGTCTATATTTGTGATCACATCTGAACTATTTTATATATATTCCTGCGTATATACAAATACGTATACGTATGTATATTTATAATGAAATTTCCATTGACGTGTGTGAAAATGAAAATTCAACAATAATTATTTCGCTTGTGTGCCTGTGTGTGTGTGTGTTTATTGTAGCAATTGCCAGTGTCTGGGGCGACGTTGTCAGCTCCATGCTAATTATTGTTTTTGGTTATTTACAGTCGCAGCAGCCGCAGCAGCAGCAGCAGCAGCCATGCCAAAACGCAGCAAACGCAATTATAACAACAACAACAACAGCAAAAAGAACAACATGCAAGTCTTTTAAGTGCGCGGATCAAGCAAAGCCTAGACAACGTCATGAGTCGTCAGGAGCCGTTAGCTTCACAGACGTCCTCGTCGTCGTCGACGTCGCCAGGAGCGATAACAACAATAACAACAACCACAACATCAGCAGCAGCAGGGAGCACAACATGTAGCAAAATCTCAACTTCAACACCACAAAAACGTGATGAATCCGCGCAGGAGCAGCAACCGGGGTTCATCGATCGCAGCTTGGCCAGCGAAATTGGCGTAAGCGATGCCAGTGCCATATGCGACATTTCGGTCAATAGCAGCTGCAGCGACGCCAGTCCAGTGGCCAAGCGTCAACTGAGCTCGGCCAATTTGTCCCGTATACGTCCACAGTCCAGTTACTCGGCGCGTGTTCTCATCTTTGAGGATTCCGATCATGAGGCAGCCGCCGCAGCCGCAGCTGCTGCTGCGAGTGCGGATGCGGACGCTCTAAGGACTGCTCAGTCGGCGGCCAGTTCCTTTAATGCCAGCGGCGCTGATGCCAGCAGCGGCGTTGAATTGCTGCCCGTATCGCCGGCCAAATTGGGAGTCAATGATAACAGCAATAGCAACAATGGTTCTTCGCTCATACGCAATCTCAATCTAACCAAGAGCTCGTCGGGTGGCCTGTCGGGCAGCTCCAGTTCGCTGCACTCACGCGGCTATACGGCGCTGCTGCGCAAGATCTCCTACCAGCAGCACACAAACTCTCTGCGCGCCGTCAGCAGCGGTAAGTGCTCCACATTTTGTGAGTCATCTTATAATTTGGCTTTCTTAGAAGCGTCCAATTTGCTGCGTATGCGTCATTCCTCGCTGGGCAAGTCAGCGCCCTGCCTAACAGGCAACTATTTTCGACACGAGTTGTGCTCTGGTCCAGGGCCAAGCGCAGGATCAGGAGCAGCAAGTTCGAATGTACCCACATCGGCTTCGCCCGGGCTAAATATTTCACGCTCTGGCAGTGGCATTGCGCTGTCCAAGCATCATCATTTGCATGGGGTGGTCATGCGAGGCACGTCCTCGGGCGCTGGTGGCAGTGGATCGAGTGGTGTGGCTCATCATCGCCTGAGCCTGGTTACCAATGCTGCAGCCATAGCAGGTGGCTCCCGGGCACATTCACCCTATTCGGCTAGTCCGGTGGACAGTCCACGCCTGAATTCACCCATGCCGTTCGCATTTGCGCCCATCAAACGCATCGCCTCCTGTCGTGGGGTTGTCGATGGCAGGCGCTGGTCGGTGGCATCATTGCCCTCCTCGGGCTACGGCACAACACCAGGCAGCTCCAATTTATCGGTAAAATCATATTATTTTCCATGGCACTTCAATTTCTCATAACTTTTTTTCTGTGCGCAGTCGCAGTGCTCCAGTCAGGAGGCGCTCAATCATTTGCCGCACAACATGCCGCCTCCTGGTCAGGAGGATGCAGCCGCTGTAGCAGCTGGCGCCTGTTGTGCGGAACATTTGAAGCAGCATTGTCCCAAACATTGCGCCTTACTGCTAGCCGCACACAAGCCACAACAGCCGCATGCACCAAAGCTTGCACAGCTGCAGCCGCAGCCATTGAAACCACCGATCGCTTGCATTAACTGCTGCGCCGACCTGAGCGTGGCTTGCAGCGGGAATGCTAATGCCAACGCGAATGCGTCCAACGCCTCGATGTCGTCCTTGCCGGGTGGCGGTCGCATGTCTCCCTATTTTCGACCACGTTCCCGTTCGCTATCCAGCCCATCTCGTTCACCCATTGTGGACAATGAGATTGCTGTAATGAATACATTGTATAAGGAGCGCTTCCCCAAGGCTACACAGCAAATGGAGGAGCGCATGAAGCACTTTATCAATGAGAACAAAAGCGCCGCTTGCAGTAGTTTTCGTGATTCACAGCCCATCGTGCGGTAAGTGTTTGATTATCTATAGTACATCTCAAATATATTTATTTGAATAAATTTCGATTGATTCAGCTTTGTGCATCATCAAGTGTTGGAGATGGCGCGTGATTGTCTGCACAAATCGGAGGCTAAGTTGATTACCTCGCAATACTTTTACGAGCTAAGCGAGAATCTGGAGCGTCTTCTGCTGGAGACCAAGGAGAAGTCGCCGGAAGCTGCTGCCGAGCTAAGTGGCGTGATCAAAAAGCTGCTGCTAATTATATCGCGTCCAGCGCGTTTGCTGGAATGTCTTGAATTTGATCCGCAAGAATTTTACGAACTTCTTGAGGCAGCCGAGGGACATGCCAAGGCCATGCCTGTGATCAAAGCGGATATACCACAGTATATCATACACAAGCTTGGTCTTAATCGTGATCCTATTGCTGAACTGCAGCAGGAGCTACGTGAAACGCAGCAAATGTGCTCAGAGCAAGTGACCGGTGGCGAGAAGCTGCTGGATGCGCAGCCCAGGGCACTATTGCTGAACTCACCATTAACCTGTGCGGCCCAGCAACTAAGCAACCTATCGCTGGATAACATGTCGCTGGACGCTGGCAATTCGGGTGGCAGCGGCACCTGTACGCCACAGCCAATGTTGCCACAGCAGCCGCCACAAACGCCAGTCGGCTGTGATGGCCAACCAACGCCTAGTTTTGCATTGGCCATAAGCCAGCTCAATACGTCGGCGGAGGCAGCTGCTGCGCAACAGCAACAACAAGAACAGCAACAACAACAGCAGCAACAGCAACAGCCGGTGCCGCATGAAAACGACTTTGACATTGCCAAGCTGATCTCAAATGGCGCCTATGGAGCCGTGTATCTGGTGAAGCACAAGACGACGCGCCAGCGCTTTGCAATGAAGAAGATTAATAAGAATAATCTCATATTGCGCAATCAGGTGGAGCAGGTGTTTGCTGAGCGTGATATATTGTCGTTTGCCGATAATCCCTTTGTGGTTAGCATGTATTGCTCCTTTGAGACCAAGAAGCATCTGTGTCTGGTCATGGAGTATGTGGAAGGTGGTGACTGTGGCACCCTGCTCAAGAACATAGGCCCGCTGCCCGCTGACATGGCGCGCTTCTATTTTGCCGAAACAGTATTAGCCGTGGAGTATCTGCATAGCTATGGCATTGTCCATCGAGATCTCAA